TATTTTTGAGCAAGTTTTCATTCATTTTATCATTTTATTCATTTTCTAAACCCTGGTTGGTTATTGTAGAAAAGATTATTCTTTTCTAAGTAGTTTGCCATGCATTTGATTATGCATTTCAAATGGTTCGGACAGGGGAAAAGTATAGAAATAGGCCTGTAGTTATTTGGATCATGGATGTTACCTTTTATATGTAAGGGTATAACCTTAGCATGCTTAAAATGTTTCGGGTAATATTATTTTGCGATACATAGGTTATAGATGTAGCAGTAGCGTAGCGATGGGGGGGGGGCATATGTCCCCGGGCGCCGACCTTATGGGGCGCCAAAATGGGTTGGAAAAATAAATTGAAAGGTTGAGGGGGGTGCAAATCAAAATCACGAGGGGAGGGGTGCAAATCGAAAGTTTGAGGAGGGTGCAAATCGAAAAGTTTGTCCCCGGGCGCCGGGAAGGGTCGCTACGCCTCTGAGATGTAGGTCAAAACTTCAGAGGTTATTGGAGCTGAAATCTTTAATAGTTTATTAGAGATGTCATCGAACGAAGTTGTGTAGATGGCTAATGTTAAGTTCATAAACAGTGAGAAGCGGAATAAGCTGCTCTGTCTCACAACGATGAGCAGAATTGCATAATCAACATATGTGTTGAGTGATACAGATGTTATGAAATGATCGTTGAATTGATCAGTAGAAATCTTTCTATGTGTAGCTGTACGGGATGTGTTTTTTTTTTCTAATTATTTGATTTATGGCCGTCCAGATAGATTTAGAATTTGGTTCGCATGACAGAAACTTATTGAAATAATGCACCTTCGATCTACGGACAAGCAGTTTAACATAATTCATTTGCATACAATAGTCGGCGGTAGTTCCATTTAGTCTAAGCTAGTATCTTTTATTACAAGCTTTTATTAAACTTGCTTCCTCTGTCTGTCTGTCTTTCTTTCTGTCTGTCTTTAGTCATAGATCGAAACTCCTAAGCGAAATTTTAAACACTTCTAACTGATGAATTCGTTTCAAACTTTGTATGGTTGTCAAGAAAAAATGCAATCTGACAGCAAATGTTTCTTAATTGTATATGAATGAAATAAAATGTCATAAATAAATTAGGGGTAATTACTATTATTTCTTACTAATTTTATGTTCATATGGTGCTCAATAGCATTTAGTCATGAAATTCAATTGTATTAAAATTCTTAAGTGCTACAAATATGCATTAAAAACGGGTCAATAACAAGCTTTTATATAATAATGCACGGAAATGGAGCAAATAATTGTTTTTATTTAAATGTAAAATAATACACTACTATTTAAATACATATAAAGAAAAGCTTGGATCTTTATTAAGATATTAATAAAAGTGTCCAATAAATAATATAGTTACCCACTCAGAAATTGCTTGATCGGAAAAATAGACTTAAATGGGCGATAATTTGTGATGTGTTGCCACGAAGGTACATCTAATTTTTTCGGCGAAAATGTACATTAGACAGGGAAGTGGTCACTAACACCATAAGAGGGGATAAGGACCTCTTTCGGATTGCAGTCAGGTGTTGGGTAGATGTGAAAATTTTTGTGCTTGATATATCGTTGACCTTTGTAGCCGTGTGTACAAATTGTTGCAGATTAAAGATTTAATAATATCATGCCAACATCCTAGAGGTCTTAGTGAACTGATTTTAAAATTTCACAATATGATGTATTCATTGTTAGTAGATGAATGGATCAATCTTGGAGCAAAAACGATCACATTATTCCATTTTTTCGCAAGTATTTCTATAAAGGAAGCGAATAGAGGAGTGCACATAGACACAAAGGCCAGTTTCTTTGTGTATGGATGGGTCTCTGCGTATTATATTATAATCTGCGACGGATATCTCAACATCATTTTCAAAAGATTGAAATCGGATTTCAGAGAATTGTTTAAATTTTGGGGTCGGCGTGGTCGAGACGGTAAAGCTCATGGTTGCTAAACCGAAAAGTATCGAGGATCAGGATAATATGACGAAATATTAATGAATAAGAGGTATAATAAACACCGTTTAAAATATGCAAAACATATGAAACACAAGTGAAAAAATTCATTACAAATTTAAACAGAATCAATGTAACTGTCTTACACTTTCACACTTTGTCACCCAATTAAAAAAATATTCTCTACCCTTCAGACTTCCTTACTTACAAGAGTATGGAGAGAAATTTTCAAATTGTATTAAGTTCCTACCAAATCTTCAAATAGTTTTAACAAGCTTTTATTTAACTAACTTCTTCTGTCTATCTGACTGTCTATAGGTGAATAAATAAAAAAGCCTTAGTATTTTTAAAAGTACCGAAAAATTCAAAATGGCGGAGGTTTTTTGGGTTTCCATGACAACCAAAATTGTTTTCGACCCTTTTTTTGCTGTTTAATACTTACTTTTATATGCCAAATATGATAAAAGTATTCAAAAGGTTTTAGATCTTAAACTGTAAAAAATAGAAAAAAAAAACATAGCATATCCCCTTAAATATTTTAATGAACTTCTATTTAATTAACTAAAAAAGCTATAGCAGTAGCAGTAGCAGTAGCAGTAGCAGTAGCAGTAGCAGTAGCAGTAGCAGTAGCAGTAGCAGTAGCAGTAGCAGTAGCAGTAGCAGTAGCAGTAGCAGTAGCAGTAGCAGTAGCAGTAGCAGTAGCAGTAGCAGTAGCAGTAGCAGTAGCAATAATAATATATTTTAAAATTGTCACGCATAGACAGTACCTCTCAAGTTTCCCCTCTATTTTTATTATGATGTGAGGGTAGCGATTTGACCAGACAGCGTAGCCTAGAAGTAGAGCGTTAGAATGCTAACCCGAATGTCTCGATTTAAATTTTTTGCTTCTGAGTCCACCCAGCTCTTTAGGGTACCGAATTCACAGTTGGGAAAATAAATGCGTATTTATTGGCTTAATTGTTTACATTAACGTTCGCGTTCGAGTTCACGTTATTGCAACCGCTTTTTATAAAATTACTATTTCAAACTGTCTTATAACCTTTCTTTCGACTAAGATTCAATTAACCTATATATAAAATAACCTAAAATAATAAATAAAATCCTTTATTAAACAAAATAAACAAAGAAAAATTATATTATAATGTATTGTTATAACCTTTCTTAAGTCGTTGTTAATATAGAAAAAATATCGTTACTAAAGTAATTAGGTTCTGGTAAGTCATTGATAAAAAATAATTCAAATTAATTTTTCATTAAATTTTAAAATTTACTTAATGCTTTCACCTGAACAAATTAATTATTGATATAGCTAAAACACGTAACAATTTTAATTAAGATTTGACATAGCACAGTACCTTGCTTAGCCGGGGGAAAAACACATTTTGCAAATTGGTGTTTACATTAATCATTAAGAAATTAATCGATTTACACTAGCTATGTTTTTATACAATTCATGTTACGAGCTAATTCACATAGTTACATTTCAATGCAGTTTTCTTTTAAAATAAAAAGTCCATTAAAAACGCCATGCAGTACTCATTACTTTAAATTATTCCTAACTGAAAAATAAGAACTGTAAAATAAAACTTAAATTTTAAAAACAATTTATTTTCCATTTTTTGAAGGTACATATTAAAAAAATCAATGAATATTTAAAAAATGTTTCCATATGTTTTATATGTCAATGTGTAATAATACACAGACACACAGACGCACACATACACACACACATACATATATATATGTAGATATATATATATATATATATATATATATATATATATATATATATATATATATATATATAGTTAAATGTATTTTACATTATTTACACGTTAAAATAATTTAAATTTATCGGAGTAAAAGAATTTCTCGATATACTTTCAATTGCAAAAACAATTAACTGTTAAACAAAAAAACATTACGTTTACGCAATGCAAAAAAATACTCTTTTCAGGTATACATATATAAATAATGAAAACGTTTTCAGAGTATGCTCACTATATTAATAATAATAAAGTAAGTACTTAATAGCTTGATTTTAAACTATTTCATTATAAATACTAAAACACATCATGTTAGTCTAGTTTTAAATCAGCATATCCTTTGTTATTTATTTTTTTAAATATCTTTTTCTCTTTATAATGTATAACCTAGATCTTAATTCTAACTACTACTAAATTTTTACATTGCATGAAAAGACTTGTGAGAAGAACAGAAGTTTTTTTTCTTAAGATCATACTAAAACACTTCCATAAAATAAATTCAAAGTTTTTTAAAAAAAATTAAGAAATCTAATAATTTTTATTGTCAATCTTTAAATACGTTTGAATACATATACAGAAAATACATGATATTATGTAAGACTGATCAGCCCCTAAGGGTTGAGCTCAAATAGTGACATTCCCCCTAAAATGATATTTGTAAAGTGTTTACTACTTAATCAAACAAAGGTCAGATTAAAATTTTTAAAGAAAAATAGTGCTTGAACACAGTGGCGTAGCGAGGTCGGGTGTCACCCGGTGCGGCACTTAATGGTGTCACCCCCCAGAGGCGTAGCGACCGTTTCCGGGGACAAACTTTCGAATTTTTTATTTGCACCCCACCCCCCCCCCGTCAAACTTTCGATTTGCACCCCTTCCCTCAAGTTTTCGATTTGCACCCCCCCCCCTCAAACTTTCGTTTTTCACCCCCCCCCCCCCAAACCCTCAATTTGCACCACCCCCCCTCCTCAAACTTTCGATTTGCATCCCCCCCTCAAACTTTCGATTTGCACCTCATAAAATCTTAAAATACTATTTAACACTCGAATCAATCACTTAATTAAGTGGAATTATCATTTTTTCTCCACATATTTTGCTATTTTTTGCCTTGGTGTCACCCCCCCCCTAAATGGTGTCACCCGGTGCGGTCCGCACCCCCCGCACCCCCACCCCCTCGCTACGCCCCTGCTTGAACACAAGAAATAAGTTATTGCTTAAATGGTACTACTTTATTATTAAATAATGTGCTTATAAACATCCAGAAATTTCACCTTTCACCCTCAGCGTTGGCGGCTATTTCACTTTGTTTCCTATAATAAAAAAGGTTGTATAACTGACGCATCTCATTTGTAGACAGTGAAATTTTTTTTATGGGGTCATCCATAAATGACGTCACACTCGTAAGGGGAAGGGGGGGGGTCCGTAATTTTGTGACGATGTGTGATGAGGGGGAGAGGGGGGGGGGGTTCAGATGTTGCGACGTCACATTTTTGCATTATAACAAAGCAATGTTAGAAAACGAATTTTAGACGTTATTTCGCGTTTAAGATAACTGTTTTAATAAATTGTAATAGTTTAGACAAGATTTTGGGAAAATATCGATGTTTTAAAAAAATTCAACTGCAATTTTGAGGGGGGGGGGGGTGGTTGTAGGTTGGGGTGTGACGTCATTTTAGGGGGGTCTGGTTTTTTGTGACCACGTGTGACGGAGGGGGGGGGGAGGTAAAAATCGTCAAAAAAAAGCGTGACGTCATTTATGGATGACCCCTTACCAAAAATTATAATTTTTCTCAATCTTTTTAATAAGTAAAATAACAAAGATCTTTTGTTTTTTATTTTGTACGAAATCGTTAAGGAATCTTATCTCCTTTTTAAAACATTTAAAGATTGTTCAATGGTTTCGCTGTCATGGGTACACAGAACTTACCTGAGCAGGTACACAATACCTATAGCAATAGGCAACAGGAGCAGGAGCCACCACAAATACTTCATGTTGTTCGTTGGCGTCGCTGGGATCAAAACAAGGTCATGTCATAACACATTGTGTGTAACAGATTTCGTAAAAAGGAATTTGAGTGTTTAATTTTTAAAACGAAAACGTCAGTGCTAGTACGTCACATTTTGTAACATTGTTACAAGTTCTATCATTTATCATTCATATCCGATAAATACAGCTGCTCGCATTTTATCAAAAGTATTCTTACGTTATTGCGTATGAATGTGTATAGGTGCCGTTATACATATATGTAGGTTTTATATATATATATATATATATATATATATATATATATATATATATATATATATATGTATATATATATATATATATATATATATGTATATATACATATATATATATATATATATATATATATATATATATATATATATATATATATATACATATATATATATATATATATATATATATATATATATATATATATATATATATATATATACATATATATATATATATATTGTATATATATATATATATATATATATATATATATATATATATATATATGTATATATATATATATATATATATATATATATATATATATATATATATATGTATATATATATATATATATATATATGTATATGTATATATTATATATATATATATATATATATATATATATATATATATATATATATATAATACAACAATTTATTTTCGAGATATAATGTTTTAAAAAAAACAAAATCCATTCACAACAATCCTTACGAGGACATGCTCCACTGATTTTATCCACACACTCCGTCATACACTTAGTAATGCAATTCCCACTACATCGCGCTCCAAATGTGTACTGTGGGCAGCCTGCAAGAAAAGTGTAAAATTACAATTAGTGATGTAGTTATAAAAGATTTTTCATCAGCTGAAAATTACAGTTATAACTGAAGTATCAAGGTTTTCGGTAGACAAAAGAGCAAAAAGGCGTCAAATGTAAACGCATTATATATATATATATATATATATATATATATATATATATATATATATATATATATATATATATATATATATATATATACATATATTTATTGATTTATTGATTTATTGATTTATTGATTTATTTATTTATAATATATAAACACCACACAAACGCTCAGATTGCCAACCAACAACTTGAAACATATCGCAAAACCATCAAGCAAAAACACTACACTCTACAAATATACGTTAAAATCCGCTGCCCCTGACCCACGTTCCACTACCTTACATAGCACAACCCACACATATCACCACTTATCAAATGATCCACATTCAATCACATATATTATTAAAAGATTTCTCAAAAAAAAACGCATGTAAATTCATAAAGTACTAATAATATTCCGCATTATTATACATAGACTGTTTGGCGTTCATTTGGTGAGCAATTCTTTTTTCTACGAAATTCTATTCTATTTTTAAAAGTTTAAGTAATTAAAAATTGATTAAAATTATTTTCGATATCCCGAGTTGCCATCCCCCGTAGTGTTTTATAAGAATATTCGAAAAAGTTTAGGGGAGATCACTTCCGCTTTATTGTTATGTGCCATTCTTTTTCTATCCTCTAAAGCAGGGGTCTCCAAACTTTTCAGACCGAGGGCCGCATTAACTATGAAATTTCAGTTCGGGGGCCAGTTTTTTCCAGGCATGTCTTTCATTTTCTGGGAAAAGTTCCTCAGCAATCACCGACAAACGATTTTTCCTTGGAAAAAAAGATCTCAGCGGGCCGGATGAGGTGTCTTCGCGGGCCGCATTCGGCCCGCGGGCCGTAGTTTGGAGACCCCTGCTCTAAAATGTAGATTTCGAGTGCCACACTGTGGCAAAACACAGGTATTTAAATGGCTGTAGCATTTACGTCACGTTATGAGAATGTTAAACTTCAGGGGACTTTGTGCATAACAACGGGTGGGGGGGGGGGGAGTTAAAATTTGGGTGACTGATACCAACACTACAGTAAGAAAATGTTAAGGTTCGGGTGACTACTACCAACACTACAGTAAGAAAATGTTAAGATTCGAGTGACTGATACCAACGCTACAGTAAGAAAATGTTAAGTTTCAGGTGACTGATACCAACACTACAGTAAGAAAATGTTAAGTTTCGGGCGACTGATACCAACACTACAGTAAGAAAATGTTAAGTTTTGGGTGACTGATACCAACACTACAGTAAGAAAATGTTAAGTTTCAGGTGACTGATACCAACACTACAGTAAGAAAATGTTAATTTTCGGGTGACTGTTACCAACACTACAGTAAGAAAATGTTAAGTTTTGGGTGACTGATACCAACACTACAGTAAGAAAATATTAAGGTTCGGGCGACTCACTTTGGCTACATCCTGACGCTGCATCTGTAAAACCAGGCCTGCAGGTGGTACAGTTCCCATTGAATTTATCGCAGTCCTGCTCACAGTTCTCACACGATTTTTCACAGCCGTAATGCCATCTCCCAACTGGACAGTCTAACACATTCAATTATAAAAGTAAATCAACGCTAGTTTTTATTATCTGTGATGTGTAAAGCGTTTATGTGAAATCATGTTAAATTAAAAAAAAACCTAAATAATAACATTATAATAAGAAACCTTGCTTGAGAGCGAAGAAAGTCACCAGCATTTCCTTCTTTTAGCTGCCCGCCCACCTCCAGCCTAGTACTCAAGCTACTTTTAATATATCTAATGTCCCACCTTACAGTAAATAGTAACATAAATATGAAAACAATGGGGAGATTAAACTATTTTCGAAATGCATAGAGGGTTGTGTATTAAAATATATGTTAGAGGATGAAATACGTTTAACTGTATTTTTGAAACACATTTCCTACTAACCTGTTGGACACATTTTCCCAAAACCACAATCTCGTTCGTTTTGCCCTTTTACGTCAAACTCGTTTCCTTGACAATCGTCCCCTTCGTTTTCTGGTGCAGGATTGTCACACAATCTATGGATTTAACAGGATTCCATGCTTTCAAACATATTTTTTTAAAAATCTGTTTGTTCTTTAATTTACATTCTCAATCAAAGGTCTTACCTGACTCGCCTAAAATTATAGTTAAGACAACCAGTAACACATTCCCACTCCAGCCATTCTCCCCAACCTCCATTTCCTGGTGAGATACAAATCAACTTAAGTACATAATTTAGATGTGCTGTGAATGATCTATTATTTAATCTGCTTTGCGCGAGTTGTGATAAATAAATATTTATGATACATATTTTAATGCAAGTAAAATGGTTTCTTTAATGTCAGACGAACCGACAGGCTGTCCAAAACAGGAAACAAGAATGCAGGGCACTTTGAGAGGAGGGAGAAGAATATGGAGGCGAATGGGTCATTGTGTGGACAGGGCTGCTTGTTGCTGGGTAGCAGAGGGCAAAAATTGATAAGAAAGGTAACTGTGTTTCCCCAACTATCTCAATAGGGGTTAAAAGGGATAATTGATTGATAGATCGATATACTAAAACAAAATAGTGCAAAATAAACAATATCTTGAAAACCATTATGGTTATTTGTGTGCCATTGTATATGTTGTTGATATGTGTATATATATATATATATATATATATATATATATATATATATATATATATATATATATATATATATATATATATATATATATATATATATACAGGGGCGTAGCGAGGGGGGGGGGCGGGGGGTGCGGACCGCACCGGGTGACACCATTTAGGGGGGTGACACCAAGGCAAAAAATAGCAAAATATATAGAGAAAAACTCGAGGGGGGGGGGTGCAAATCGAAAGTTTGAAAGTTTGTCCCTGGGAAGGGTCTCTATGCCTCTGGGGGGGGGGGGGGGTGACACCATTAAGTGCCGCACCGGGTGACACCCGACCTCGCTACGCCACTGTATATATATATATATATATATCGATGGCCTCGATCGCTAACCGTCTAACTCCGAAAATATAAATTTTACAGAGGAGACAATAAACTGAAATTTCATACTTGATCGCTCTAATTAATTTTTTTTATTTGTATTTAAGAAGAAACTCTCTACCGACTATAATGTAGCACTTTAAAATTATTTTTTTAAATATTTACAAATTTATAGTAGGTTTTTAAAGATAGCGGCGGTCTGGTAGCTCTAAAACTCTCGCCACCAAACCGTCTATCTGTACGCGCGCAGACTTAGCATGAATGCATGAATGCATGAGCCAATCAACCAACCAATCAATCAATCAATCAATCACCCAATCAACCAATCAACCAATCAACCAATCAACCAATCAACCAATCAACCAATCGACCAATCAACCAATCAACCAATCAACCAATCAACCAATCAACCAATCAACCAATCAACCAATCAACCAATCAACCAATCAACCAATCAACCAATCAACCAATCAACCAATCAACCAATCAACCAATCAACCAATCAACCAATCAACCAATCAACCAATCAACCAATCAACCAATCAACCAATCAACCAATCAACCAATCAACCAATCAACCAATCAACCAATCAACCAATCAACCAATCAACCAATCAACCAATCAACCAATCAACCAATCAACCAATCAACCAATCAGCTAAGTCTCGTCACTTCTTATATTTGTTTGTTTCAATGCCAACAGAAGGAAACCCGCTTTAATTCAGTACTATGGACCCACAAATGCTGCAAAAAAGGAAAAGAAAGACGAATTCTGCAGCACCATACTGTCTATAATTGACCAATCACCAAAAAATATATAACGATAATAATAATAATAATGTGAGATTGGACCCCAAAGTGGGAATAGAAAATAAAGATCGGGAGCTCATAATAGAAAAAAAAAAAACGGAGTTGAAGTAATAAATGAAAATAGGGAACTCTTTGATGACTTTGTGCAATTAATTATTTAATTATAGGGGACGGGGGGAGGGGTGGTGGAGGAGTTCTCTCGTAATAATATACACACTACTATATAGATGTCACCGGATGGCAAATCTAAGACCAAATAGACCATATCACAGTTTCCAAAACATCGAGATGATGTTTACTGGATATTAAGGTGAGACGACGGGCCGACTCAACCTCAGACTACCAACTCGTCGTGGCAACATTAGAACAAAGCACAAATCCTTAAGGGGCCGAGCAGGTAAAATACACTTTAAATTCAATACAAAATACAATACAATATATATAAATAGCCCTAAAACTACGGTAACTTTTAACAGCGCAGCGTACAATACGTATGAATCATTCTGCAGTAATGCAGAAGAAACTGTAGATCAACAATGGCTAGGAGTACAGAAACAATGAGAGTCAGCATGTACATATAAGAAATATAGTCCAAGATCGAAAATAGGAAAGAAGTAAAATAGAAGATGAATCAATTCCAGGACGATGAATAGAAAATAAACCCCAGAACACAACATTGGGAACATAATTTCACGGTCAGGAAATAGGAAGAGTTAGAGGCGTAGGCAGGGGGGGGGGTTAGGGGGGGGTCATAACCCCCCCCCCCCCCCCCCCATAGACCCCTCGGTATATATACAAAGTATAAGGGGGGTGGTGCCAATCGAAAGTTTGAGGGGGGTGCAAACCGAAAGTTTGTGGGGGGTGCAAATCGAAAGTTTGAGGGGGCGGGGTGCAAATCGAAAGTTAGTCCCCGGGTAAAAATTGGACCCCCCCCCCCCCCACCCCTTGAGACGATCCTGGCTACGCCACGGACGTCATTGAGACTTGGATCGAAGGATCAGAAGACTTTCGGGATAGCAGGCTGGCCATACCCCACCCCATCCTCTGTTTATTCATACCACCATATCCCACCGAAATTTATTAAATCAGATTAGCAAAAAACATGCTTAGAAATTATATAAAAATAATAATTTTAAGATTAGAAAGTAAGTTTTAATTTAGCAATATTACAACGTTTAATATAGTAATTATTACACTTCTTATGTAAAGGGTACGTTTTTAGGTAAATGTGTTTTCAAAAACCTATACAAACCTAGGAAGTATACTAAGTGTATATACATCTAAAAGTATAAAAATGATATAGAGCTTATATTGAAGATTATAACATATTTATATAATCCAGTTGTATATATATATAATATATATATATATATATATATATATATATATATATATATATATATTATATATATATATATATATATATATATATATATGTGTGTATGTATATATATATGTATATATATATATATATATATATATATATATATATATATATATATATATATATATATATATATATACAACTGGATTATATAGATATGTTATAATCTTCAATTGCTTTTTTTGTTAAACATGTAATGATACGTACTTCTTGGTGGTTTTGCGAGGTCTTCGTCGATCAAATTGTCTTTGTCATTATCTGTTGAAGAAATGAATATTTATTGGTTTATTGATTAATCTATGCATAAAAACATGTTGTCTGAGAATTGACGGGACACTGGGCAGGTGAAGTAGAGTTGAGTAGGTCACCTGTGACGTCAGTATATGAAGGGATAGTGTGGTCAGATCAATGCTGAGCCGAAATCGGTGTTTTTAAAAGATGAAAAAAAAACGTCTTTTTGAAAATTGGGTCTGGTTTTTTGTGACGATAAGTGACAGACGTGACATTTTTTTATGGATGACCCCCGAAACCCACAGTTATCAAAGGGATGAAGGTAAGTCTAGTTAATCTTTAAAACTCTCATAAGTTTTTTGTAAACCTAAGCGAAGCGATGCTTAGTCTATATATATAAAGCAAAGCGGTCGGTTGCCCGATCGGGCACTTCCCGGCACCGCATGCTTGTCAAAATTGGCAGGATCCTGCCTTGGGACAATAGAACACGAGGGCCAATGCCGGTTGGCCAAAAAGTCCAGGAAGAGGGGGTCAAAACTGACCTCGACTGACCGGCGCCCTATATGGGGTATGTATCGAAACAAAATTTCAAAAGTAGGAACCTTTTCATATCTCCTGAGATCGTAGACCGACCCTTGGGGGTGGCAAAAAAAACTATGATATTTTCCGGAAAATTCCGGAAGACCGTTAAAACTGACCGTATATAATATTGTTAATTTGGTGAAAAACGATGCCTATTTTCAAAACAGTGTTTTGAAACTTTGGCTCTGTACATCTCGCTCATTTTTTTCCATAAACCTGGGTAAATGAATCGGCCTTATGGATAAACTATCGGTCAGCCTCTGCTCGCGTGGCGAGGGCTAAAAAGTGACCGCGAGTGAAATTCTCCTTATATGAGCTGTACATCAAACAAAATTTCCCACGTAGTAACCCTTTGAAAACTCTTGGGGTTATACATCGGCCCCTGGTGGTCAGCGAAAAAATATTGCATGAAGACAACGCAATCTGGAAATTAAATTTGACTTAATTGGGTGCCTAATTAATTTTTTATGAATTAATTATAATTTTGACCAAATTAGTAGGCATTTCTATCCAACCGCACCACACGCGTCATCACGTTCAATAGGCATGCAATGGTTTTTAGTCATGAAACTCTATTGTAAATAAAAACATGTAAAGTACTTAAAAAAAAATTCATAAAAAACATTTTAACAACAAGCTTTTATGTACTAATGCACTAAAAAGTAGAAAATAAATTATATGCTATTATTTAAATAACTAGAAGGAAAAGCGTTAGTTATTTAAATAGTAGTCTATAATTTTATTTTTCTACTTTTTAGTGCATTAGTACATAAAAGCTTGTCATTAAAACGTTTTTATGAAAAAATTTTGTTACCATGAAGCTCTATACCGATTGATCGGAAAATAATAAACATAGTATTATAATTTTAATCTTAATTTTAAAAACAAAAACGAAAATCAAAATAAGCTTCCACAGCAAAGTAAGCATTACAGTTATTTCCCTTTAAATTACCTCCCCTGCATAAAAAAAATGATTAATTCTTTTCACTCTAAATTATAGACATTGTTAATTTTTATTTGACCTGTTTAAGAGAAAATATTGTTGACATTGATTATTTTTTAAAATGGTATATATATTTTTATACGTTTTTTTGTACAATACGCAAGACGGTAAATTTTTTGCCAACAACCAAAATAAGACAAGACATTGCATTTTTTGTCTATATTTAACGCTCAATACCAAAGTATTGTTTTAAGCTTTATTAAATGGTATTTTATCGATAAGATATGATTAGTGGGCGTAAACTACTTGTCTGATTTCATTCTGAAATAAGACTACATTTTCTCCAGCTTTAAAAACTTAATCATTATCATGACCTTCGTCTTCGTTGTCGTCATCGTCGTCACCGTCACCAATTTTATTTTTATTGTTTCATTATTATCCCTATCGCTATCCTCATTCTTGATGTCGTTGACTTTGGTATTATCTCTATTTATGTATTTTTTCCTCTATCAAAGCTATTCATTTCCTTAAGTTTGTCACTAGCCTATTTAATTTTTCTAACTTCTATCTCTATACCTATAATATACAACACCTACACCTACAAGCCTACACCGACACCTACACCTACACTTACACTTACACTTACACCTACACCTACACCTACACCTACACCTACACCTACACCTACACCTGCACCTACACCTACACTTACACCTACACTTACACCTACACCTAAATATTGTGATGTTGCATAATCTGGCTATCTAAGTAGTTTTTAAAAATATAGTTTGGCCAGCTAAGTCTTTTTTTTTTAAATCACAATCGTTCGTTACCTGTGTAAATCATAGTCTACCCGGCTAATAAGTTAAAATTCATAGTCTGATCTGCTGTTAAGATTTTTTTTCCAAATATTAGCTTAACTATTTGTTGAAATAATAGTTTGACCTGCTAAATAGTTGTTTTATTTTTAAAATCATAATTTGGTTTCCTAAGTAGTTTATTTAATCATAGTCCTACCTTATATGTATTAGTTTAAAGCATAGTATTTTTTAAAATCTAAAAATGAACTGGGCCTCGGTTGACTAGCATTGATAACATTTGAAATGAGCTGCCATTTATCTAACGCTATTGTATTCTCATTAGTTCTAAGCTATACAACATTAATAAACGGTGTGTACGCTTTCGCTGTTACACCCACTGTTAGCGTTAAGGTCAGTCCAAGGTTAGTGAATAATAAATTCTTTGTTAGTGATAATGTCAATCAAAAATTAGTATTATGTCGATTCGGAAGCTATTACCTCCACATTAACACTAATCGTATTGTTTTTTATTATATTGATGCCTACCTCCCTTATGTTATCTTTCATCTTGAACGTTACATTACCTATGCCATCTTTGATCTCATAAAGCATTTTATATTTTTTCTTGACTCTTACATTACCTATGCCATCTTCGATCACTATTTTGTAATCATTTTACTTACCATTAACAATACCTATGCCATATTTGATCTCATAAACCATTTTATATTTTATCTTGACCCTTACATTACCTATGCCATCTTTGATCTCATAAACCATATTATATTTTATCTTGACCCTTACATTACCTATGCCATCTTTGATCTCATAAACCATATTATATTTTATCTCGACCCTTACATTACCTATGCCATCTTCGATAACTATTTTGTAATTTTACTTACCATTAACAATACCTATGCCATCTTTGATCTCATAAACCATTTTATATTTTATCTTGACCCTTACATTACCTATGCCATCTTTGATCTCATAAACCATTTTATATTTTATCTTGACCCTTACATTACCTATGCCATATTTGATCTCATAAACCATATTATATTTTATCTTGACCCTTACATTACCTATGCCATCTTTGATCTCATAAACCATATTATATTTTATCTCGACCCTTACATTACCTATGCCATCTTCGATAACTATTTTGTAATTTTACTTACCATTAACAATACCTATGCCATCTTTGATCTCATAAACCATTTTATATTTTATATTGACCTTTACGTTACCTATGCCATCTTTGATCTCATAAACCATTTTATATTTTATCTTGACCCTTACATTACCTAAGCCATCTTTTATTTCTTCATCGATCCTTTGGTCACAGTCATTGTCTATGAGATCTCCAGGATTCATATTGTCAAATGATGTAGTACATTTCTAGACGAGATGTCAAACATACATTATGTGGTGAATTGAATGATGGAATACATTGCTAGATGAGATATCAAACATACATTATGTGATTAATTGAATGATGCAACACATTTCTGGACGAGATATCAAACATACATTATGTGATGAATTGAATGATAGAATACATTGCTAGACAATATATCAAACATACATTATGTGATGAATTGAATGATGCAACACATTTCTGGACGAGATATCAAACATACATTATGTAATGAATTGAATGATGCAGCACATTTCTGGATGAGATATCAAACATACATTATGTGATGAATTAAATGATAGAATACATTGCTAGACAATATATCAAACATACATTATGTGATGTATTGAATGATGGAATGCATTGCTAGACAATATATCAAACATACATTATGTGATGAATTGAATGATAGAATACATTGCTAGACGAGATATCAAACATACATTATAGGATGAATTCAATGCTGGAATACATTGCTGGATGAAATATTAAACATACATTATGTGATTAATTGAATGATGCGGCATATTTCTGGATGAGATATCTAACATACATTATGTGATGTATTGAATGATGGAATGCATTGCTGGACAACATATCAAACATACATTATGTGATGTATTGAATGATGGAATGCATTGCTGGACACAGATTAAACTTAGGAGGTGTGCGGTATCAAGAAATGAAATACAGAAACCTGCACATTTTTTTTTAACTTTTAAATTATATTTTTTTCTATAATAAAGTGTTGAGATATTCACTTCATTTTCAACGAAGAGTTGAATATTTTTAGATAAATCTAAAATATTACACTGTCTAGAAACCAACAAAAAAAAAAGACTATAAGTGTCATCAAAGCTTACAATGTAAACATCTTAAGACAGCTGAGTTCCAACTGAAAATATCAATAGTAGTGTAGGAAGGATTTTGTCTTGCTTGCTGATATCTAAAAATGACCTAGACCGATGAAATAAAATGACCTAGACCGATGATTGCCAATGTAATAAAATGACCTACCACGTTTATTTCCGAAGTGATAAATCCTGCAGGGTTCATGTAGCTGTAGAACATAGCCAGACCGTAGATGTAACAGCCGAATTTGATAAGCTGTGTGCCATATAGTGTATGTGTGCCACGAGCCACTTCCATATTACCAATTTCATATGGGGCTCCGATCACACTATTCCACTGCATCCTAATCATGGAGTTATTAAGAACCAGTGGTGTAGAAGGTTTTCGGGGTAGTAGGAGAAAAAGGCGCCATATATAGGCTACATATATATATATATATATATATATATATATATATAGCCTATATATAGCCTATATATATAGCCTATATATAGCCTATATATATAGCCTATATATAGCCTATATATATAGCCTATATATATATAGCCTATATATTTAGCCTATATATATAGCCTATATATATAGGTTACATATATATATATGTATATATATATATATATATATATATAGGCTGCATCAGGGGTTCCCAACCTTTTTTAACTCTAGAGCACATTCTAAAATATCGGTAGGGTGGCGGGCACCACCTATTTTAAATCGAAAAACTCCTTCCAGAGGCGTAGCGACCCTTCCCGTCACCCGGGGACAAAACTTTCTATTTGCATCCCCCCCCCCTCAACTTTCTATTTGCACCCCCCCTCAACTTTCGATTTGCACCCCCCCCCCCTCAACTTTCGATTTGCATCCCCCCCCCCCTCAAACTTTCGATTTCCATCCCCTTCAACCTTTCAATAATGTTTATGAAAAAAATTCTGTCTCTGTCGAATAGTGAAAGGCGGGCACATACGAATCGTTCGGCGGGCGCCTTGGCGCCCGCGGGCACAGGGTTGAGAACCCCTGGGCTACATATATAGATAGGCTATATAAATAAGGTCTTAGGTGCTTTGACCACAGGTGCTTTGACCATTGTTCCCATTCCCTCTTGTTTTATGTAAGAATATTCGAGAAAGTTTAGGGGAGATCACTCCCGGTTTATTTAAACTAGCGGCTGGATATTTTTAAAACTCATATGCATTTTTTTTTTTCAAATTCAATTTTATCAAGTTCGAATTACATTACAACATGTATTTACAGTTGTCAACAAACGGTTCTACCGTTTAATCTGAGTACAGAAACAAACCTTTTATCCGTCTCTGTTACATTTCTTGTGTGAAACTGTCTGAGCAAATGGATTTTTTAGTTCAGTCTCGACTACTCGGATTATGCCTTCAATAGCTAAATACACACGCCGACCACTAAATAGGCACTCTCGTTAACCAGCATCTAGTGCATACATTGGTCACAGGATAGTCGCGCTCGTTAACCACTATATTAGGACAGGAGCCAAGCTCTAGATATGCGCATCTATTTCCTTTCATTAATTTAGTTATTCAGAACATCTGGTCATGCTTGTTTAATTAGTTTTTAATCCCCCCCCCCTAAAGATGCTTGCAGGGAGGAGCGACCGCACCACCTGCACCACCCCTGCATACGTCAATGTTTAAAAAAAACTAAAGTTTAACAATCGAGGTTTTGGTTACAAAAATAATGCCAATAAAACTTACGTATCTGGAACTTCTAAATCATCGAATCTTAAATGTACTTTGTCGACGGTCTTAATAACCAAACAGACGAAATTTTTTGGCTCTACCGCCCTTGCGGCTGGAGTGCTAAAAATAGACACATATAATCAAAGCTGAAAACATTACATATAAGCCCATACAAGCCCACCCCCTTCCCCCACCTCCACGTGTTTCAATTAAATGTATATGGGAATATGGACGTTTGAATAAATCAAATTAAACCCTAACTATAAACTGAACCCTAACCACAACGAACCACTACCAAAGCCAAATCCAAACACAAATGCTAACGCAAACAAAAAAGCAAAACAAACTCACGCGCAACTACAAACGCAAACAGAAACACAGACAGAAAACACAAAAAAAAACAACAAAATAAACATAAACCTTACCCCTCACCACAACCTCACACAAGAACGTAAACAAACACAAAAAGATAAACTAACCCTCGCCACAATCTCAACCACTCTAAAGATAAGAAATGAGGTCTTAATGATAATAAAACAGAGGCGCCCGGGGACAAACTTTTCGATTTGCACCCCCCTCAAGATTTCGAATTGCACCCCCCTCCCCCTCAAACTTTCGATTTGCACCCCATTCAAGATTTCGATTTGCACCACCCTCAACCTTTCAAATTATTTTTCCAACCCATTTTGGCGCCCCCTAAGGTTGTCCCCCCAGCCCCCCCCCCCCCCCCCACACGCTACGCTACTGTAATAAAATAAATAATAATTAGTAAATAATGCAGCCCCTGAAGGTCTTTAAAAATAGTAAAAAGTAAAAACTAAATCATAGTAATAGCATTTTAGCCAAATATCAGTGAAACTGTTCAGATCTATTCAGATTCAGATTCACATAAAGCAAATGCAGATTAAAGTTATGTAGGCTACTACTCAGTTGAAATATGTTGTTTTTAATACTTTTATTTGCAATTTAAAACAAGTACGTCAACATAAACACTATTTTCATAAGTTCACAAAAACAAATGAAACCGACGGATTTTACAACTGTTCATAATGAATATTTACAAAATGGCATACATGTGGTTATACAAAGTTTGATTTGTACAAAATTTAAAAGTTTAAACAGTGAAGAGATAAAGGAAAAAAGAAAGGGTTGGAATGCGGCTGGGGAGAACTTAAAGATAGAGACTGTTGTTGAAAATAATATGTTGGATGTTTTAAATGTGAAAACTAAATTTTATTAAAAGATTTTTTTTTTTAAATGAAAGGCATATTCGAATGTAGAAACACATTTTTATTTAAGCAACAGGAAAAATCTTTATTTTTGTGACAAGAACGCAAAAAAATTAAAAAAAAAAACAATGACGTCACATGTCACACGTTTAAACTACGAAAAGTACACAAAAAGTACACAAAACAAACTGCGTCATCAGTGGCGTAGCCAGGATTGTCTCATGTGGGGGGGGGGGTAAAAGAATTTCCATCACTATATATATATATATATATATATATATATATATATATATATATATATATATATATATATATATATATATATATATATATATTTATTAACTGTATACCGGAAGTAGTAATTTACGCTATTTCCGATTTCTCAAAAAAAAACGAATGTGAATTTATAAAATACTTATAATATATCGCACTATTATACACATTTTGTTTGGCATTTACTTAGTGCGCAATTCTTTTTTTCTACACGATTCAATTTTTTTTATTTAAAGTTAAAGTAATTAAAAATTGTTAAAAATATTGTCTATATCCCGAGTTGCCATCCCCCGTAGAGTTATATAAGATTATTTAAGAAAGTTTAAGGGAGACCACTCCAGGTTTATTTATTTATGTCTTTCTCCATATATTTGCATCAACGTAAGCTATCATACGAGAGCTTTTATAAACTGCTTACCTCCATATGTAGTTATCATAGAAGAGTGGCGTGGGAATGATGTTGCATAAAGACGGGTCCCCATCCTCACCTGGACGACCATTATCTAATCGGCAAGCAGGTATCATGAGGTAAATGACGGACAACGGTTTGTCGCTTTTGAAGTACCGTGTCCCGTTCCAGTCGATCTGCAAAAAAAATATGAATATTATTATCTGCCCGACGAGTATTCCGTCATAATTTGCCTGAATTATTTGCCGCCAGGTAGGCCATTATTATATGGCGCAAGATTAGCTCGTCCTAATCCGCGATACGGGTTGTCCGTCGTCATTTGCCGCACATATAGTGCGTCCTTACGTGCTGTTTTGGTGGGATCCGGAAAAAACGACATTATGGAAAGCTAGACAGGAAGTAAGGCCTGCATCTAAAAGGCGACATCAACCAGCCAGAAAATACATTAAACCGAAATAAAAATAAACCGGGAGTGATCTCCCCTAAACTTTCTCGAATATTCTTACATAACACTACGGGGGATGGCATGTGGATATAAACATATGATTTTTAATCCATTTTTAATTACTTAAACTTTTTAAAATAGAATAGAATCTCGTAGACAAAAATAATTGCGCACCAAGTGGACGTTAACATTCTGTGTATAATAGTGCGGAATATAATTAGTACTTTATAAATTCACATTTTGAGGAATCGGAAACAACGTAAAGTACTACTTCCGGTCAACGTAAGTTAACTCAAAATTTGACTGAAGTCAGTGAATTAGAAGTTTTACTTATTTGTGAAATTTCGTTTATCTATCTGAAATAGTAGTCAAGTTATAGGCTTTTGAAAAACCAAAAGTGGAATAAATTCCTCTTCCGGTTACAAGAAATCGCTGAAAAATTTATACTGAACTAAAAATTATGTAACAATACTCAAGTTACCGGGTTTACACACACACACACACACACACACACACTCATACACACACTCATACACAGACATACGGACAAGATTGCTAACTATGTTTTTCCGACTCAGGTAGGTGTAAAACGTCGAGATTTGCAAAAATCTCGTTGTTTTTTTTTTGCACGATTACAAAACTTTCTCGATACTTCGTATACGAGATCGTAAAATGTGTATACACTAGTACAACTTGTTAAAATCTGTTTATCATTTAATAAGTTAAAAGATCATTGAGTAAGATCTATTGATTTCTGATATTTTGCATAGCATACCATTTTTTCCAGGCCCCATGTTTTACTTTAACTCCATAACTATATAGATTTTTTTAAATTTTAAAATAAATACTTAACATTTATTAAATTTGAGTTCATTGTTAATTTCTCGTATACAGAGTATAGATGAAGTATTGGAATCGTGCTTAAAATGACATAAAATTTTGAGTTTTCATCGTTTTACACCTCAGTACTTTATCATATACGGAGTATAGGGAACTTACTTTAGTCGGGCAAAAAAAAAATCCAGAATTATCAAAATGTCAGCGTTCTATGTGTAATCGAGTCGGAAAAACTGGCATTTGCTATTTTGTGTGTGTGTGCGTGCGTGAGTAATTTCTGTTGATAGGAAATAGTAATTAACGCTATTTCTGATTTCTAAAAAAATGCATGTGAATTTATAAAGTACTAGTAATATTCCGCACTATTATACACATTTTGTTTGGCGTTCACTTTCTGTGCATTTCTTTATTCTACGAGATTCTTTTCTATTCTAAATAAATCGGGAGTGATCTCCCCTGAACTTTCACGAATATTCTAATATAACACTACGGGGGATGGTCAACTGGGGATATAGACATGATTTTTAATCCATTTTAAATACTTAAACTTTTTAAAATAGAATAAAATATCGTAGAAAAATAATTGCACACCAAGAGAAATAAAGATGTGCATAACAGTGTGCAATATTATTAGTACTCTATAAATTTACATGCGTTTTTTGAGAAATCGGAAATAGCGTAAATTACAACTTCCGGTCAGCGGAAATTACTCAAAATTTGACTTAAGGTAGAGAATTAGATCTTTTAATTACATGTGAAATTTCATTTATCTATCTCAAATAGTTAGAGGCTTTTGAAAAATTCAAAGTAAAAAATGTACCACTTCCGGTTATCGGAAATCAAGTCCAACATTACAAGAGAAGTTAGAACGAGAAAAAAGAAGAAAGAAGACCGGTACACCGTGATTCAACAGTACAATACTTACAATAATACGATGTATGTGTTTATAAAACTTACATCAATATTTTAGTGGCATCGCTGGTGTTTACATCAATTTCTTTCACGCCCCCCCCCCCCAACAGTTATATGTAGCAGCAAGTACAGATGGCTGTAGTCCTGCTCAACCAGCAGTGGCGTAGGTAGGCAAGGTGGGGTTTGGGGGGGGGGGTTATAACCCTCCCATGGACCCCGACCCCTATATATATAGTCATATATATATACCCTTAGTCATATATATATATATATATATATATATATATATATATATATATATATATATATATATATATATATATATATATATATATATATATATATATATATATATGATTATATACATATGGAAACATTTTTGAACCCCTCCCATGAAAAATTCCTGGCTACGCCACTGTCAACCAGACATTTGTTTCGTGTATATTTTTTTGGTTAATTTAATTAAAGTGTATAATTAAATAATCACAGTTGAAGATAAGCGAGGAAATACCACTAAATCAATCAAAAACACAAAATTCCAGGAATATATTAACAAAAGAAAATGCTAATACTACACAAAATTTAACCAAAGGACTAACATCTCCTTATAATATCTTAATACTTGAACTTTTTAACATAGAATAAAATCTCTTAGAAAAAAAGAATTGCACACCAAGTGTGCATAAAAGTGCGGAATAGTATTAGTACTTTATAAATTCACATGCGTTTTTTTGAGAAATCGGAAATATCGAAAATTACTATTTTTAGTCAACAGAAATTACTCAAAATTTGAAAGAAGGCAGAGAATCAGGTCGTTTACTTACATGTGAAATTTCATTTATCTATTAGAAATAGTTCTTAAGTTTTAAAAATACAAAGTAGAAACAGTTCCGGTTATCGGGAATCGCTTAAAAGCTGAAACGGTTCTACGATTTTGATATAATACTTATATATGAAATTTCATCAGCCTAGTTGTAACGGTACTCAAGTTATCGTGTTTGCAGACACACACACACATCCACACATCCACACATACACACACACAGACATACGGACAAGATTGCAAAACTATGTTTTTCCGACTCATGGAGCTGTAAACAGTATGAGATTTACAAAAATCTCGATTTTTTTTTCACGATTGCGAGACTTTCTCTATACTTCGTATGTACGAGAAAGTAAAAAAAAAAACGGTTTAATAGCAAGCTTTTATGTAATAATGCACTAAAGAGAAGAAAAAAATTATTTTCTTTAAATATATAATAACTAGGCATTCTGCCTAGCTTCCCTTAGGTTTACAAAAAACTTATGTGAGTTTAAATGATTAATTAATTGGTGATTGACTGTTATGTGTAGTGCTTAGGGCCTAAGTTTAAACAGTCTGAGTATTTTCATGTCATGCAAACAATAGTGTATTTGCAAACTTATTACTCGCAAGGTAATTAGAACTGCAAAGGCTTCATTAATAGTATAAATCAAATATTATATTAAATTAACCTTTGCAATTAATTTTCACAATTTCAATTTAATACATAACTAAATTTATAACGAAATACTTATTTAAACGAATGCTATACTTCGTGATTTTTGTTTTTTCTTTAAAATAAAATAAAAATAATTTTAAAATTATTACTTTAAAAAAGTTACAACCCCTGTACATAGACCGAATGACGTATTCTTTCTTTACTTTTTTCGCAAACAATTGTTTATATAAGAAAATATGACATCTGGACAAATCTAACGACTCTAAGGGATTTTTCCGAGGGGAATAAAGTGTTTTTGTTACCCTCCAGGGTCGGTCTACGAACTCACAAAATATTAGTGAGATTGTTCGTCAATATATATATATATATATATATATATATATATATATATATATATATATATATATATATATATATATATATATATATATATATATATATATATATATATATATATCATATATATCTCATATAAGGATAATTTCACTCGCGGTCATTTCTAAGCCCCCGTTGAAGGCTTTGAGCCTGACCAACAGTTTTTCATACGGCCTAGTCATCTACAGAGGTGCATGCAAAAAATTGCCAGATGAACAGAGGTTAAGTACCCTAAAATTTGTGTTGAAATTACCCTGTTTTTCACATAAAATACAAAGATTATATAGGGAAATACGACTGGTCAGTTTTGACCATTTTATGCAGTTTTTCCAGATATGCCTATTTTTTAATGACACCCCTAGGCGTTTTTCTACCATCTCACAAAATATCAAGGGGGAGGGGGTCGTTGGGAAAAAGTTTTTTTTCGTAATATAGCTCAAATAAGGCGCCGGTCAGTCGAGGTCAGTTTTGACCCCCTCTCCGTGGACTTTTCGGCCAACCGGCACCGGTCCCCGTGTTCTATTGCCCAAAGGCAGGATCCTACCAAATTTAAAGCGCCTTCGGCGCAGGGAAGTACCATATCGGGCACCCGACAACTTTGCTTTATATATATATATATATATATATATATATATATATATATATATATATATATATATATATATATATATATATATATATATATATATACATTGTAATGATATATGTATGGTGTTTTCCGCATATTTATCTGATTAACTCAATATATTACATTTTGTTAAAGAGATAAGGTATTGCTTTATGCTAAAAGCAATTCTGGACATCTCTGGCCATTCGCCAATAATAAGTTTTTTTGTTTCATTTTGCACAAACACTTTGATTAAAGAGATATTGTTTAGTATTTTGTTACCTACCAGTCTGGTAGTCCAACTCTCTTCTATGTCCATGTATAGTTCTTTGCCGTCAGCTTCAAAAGCAGTTATTCGTGTTTTCGGTTCAGTGGTCATTGCCTTCACTTCACCTAGTAATATCCTCCCAATCACGTTGATAGTAATAAATTCTGTTCCCAATGTTTCAAGTGGCATTAACATCTCTAGTAAAACGAATTTAAAACGAATTAAAACTAATTTAAATAATTTCGTTATAGCTGATATTAATTTTCGTACAAAGCAACACTTTTTATTGTATGAAAATGCTTCCGTCTGTTGACACATATTTCACAGGTATAACATGTAACATTGGCTCAACAAGAATTGTAGTTCAAAATATTACAGGCGCAAGTATATTTCAATTCTTGTCGACAATTTTCTAATGTGCACATACTGTGTAAAATTGTATATTCGTATAATCTATTACCGATTAAATCATGCGTTTCGATAGGCTTTTAGACATATATAACTGAATATATACACTACCCAAGTGAACAGCTAACATCTTTTACACAAAGACTTAAACGACCTATTGTTACATACATTAAGTTTCTTTAAATAAATAAAAACAGCAATTTTATACAGCGCTAGAATTTTAATGCTAGTATCATTCAACTATTAATAATTGAAAACAGTAAATAAATCAGCTTATAAGAAGCAACGCTTTGAAAGCATCTATAGTCGAAATTTTTCATTGGATTGTAAGGGGTCGGCGTAGTCGAGTCGGTGAAGCTCATGGTTGCTAAACCGAAAAAGTCTCGAGTTCGAACCCACGGGCAGATGAGGCTCGTTAGCTGGGGACAGCCACTCTTCTAGGAGAGACAACTCCAAAATCAAACAGCTGCTGCCTTGTAGTTTGTTCTTGGTTGAACAAAGGCTATGGAAGCAAATCCAAAAAAGAAAAGCAGGCTGAAATCGGAGTCAATGGCCTCAATGGCGCATAACCAGTTGACACGTAACGCTTAATTGTGTTGGAGGCGTGGTCGAGTCGGCAAAAAAAAAGCTCATGGTTGATAAATTCGAACAAAGTCTCGAGTTCAAACCCACTGGCAGATAAATCTCGATCCCCTTCAACACTAATAATTAAGAACGAAGAAGAAGAAGAAGAAGATTGGATTGTATGTTTTTTTTTTCAATTACACTTCAACATGCCCTTCGACTAAACACGCTCTAGTTATTTCGTCTTCTTACATTCAATCAGGCTACTTCACAAGAATTTGAAAACCTTTTTTTTTATATAAGACAAACATCAAGAATACAATATCGAAAAGTGTTTAAATGTAACACATTCTCGTTATGTTTTTTTTTTCTTTTTAAAAAAAATTCGTTTTCAAAGTCTGTTTTCAATTTTATTGTGTCAGAAGCTAGATGTAGAGAAATAGATAACTACTAATAGTAAACGACTTGGGACGGAGTCGCCCAATGGTAGAGCACTCGACTGCGAATCTGAACTGGACTCCTTCGGTCCATCCAGCTCCGATCGGTATTTGACCCACGGTTGCCATAGTAATGGGCATAGTGCTGAACAAGCTAACCTTTCATGTGCTTGGACATAAAACAGGTGAACTCTACTTCATCTGCCCCTAGAATCGCTCGACATAAATTGTAACTAAACTACTACCTGCAATAATATCTCCTGTTATCATTTGAACCCACTGTTCCCTCTTTGTTGCACAGTTCATTGGCATGCGAGCATGAAGACAGTTACCGCTAATAACACCACAATGCGCAGAACAATTAATCCGTGTCCCTAAAAAAAAATTTTTTTTTTTTTAAAAAACCGAGAGAATTGTAAAACATTAATTAGATAATACAGTACTTTAGAATCTGGTTTAATTTAAAAAAAAAAAAAGTAACTAGACTACCCAGTTATTCTACAGTCACTTATTATCACGCAGTGGCGTAGGCAGGGGGGGGGTTAGGGGGGGGGGGTCATAACCCCCCCCCCATAGACCCCTCGGTATATAGAAAAAGTATGAGGTGGGGTGCAAATCGAAAGTTTGAGGGGGGGGGGGTGCAAATCGAAAGTTTGAGGGGTGGGGGTGCGAATCGAAATTTTGAGGGGGGGGGTGCAAATTGAAAGTTTGTCCCCGGGTAAAAATTGGAACCCCCCCCCCCCCCCCTTGAGACGATCCTGGCTACGCCACTGTTATCACACAAAAAACCGGACCCTAAATTAAATAATGCACTAAAAAGTAGAAAATAAATTATACACTACTATTTAAATTACTAACGACAGAGCGTTAACGTTCTGATTAGTAAAGGCGGGGAAAAACCTGGGATAAATTACGAAGCTTCTATTCTCTGTATCTACATCAACGCTGTGTATTTGAACTTAGTTGAACTAGTATACACTACCTTCTAAAGTTATTTCCGAATGTACTGGTGACCTTCTACAGAAAGCTAACGTGAAAGCCTCACCCCTGTTAAAAAGTAAGTTCATATTACATGAGTCTTTTTTAAAATCATTGCAATACATAGGCCTACACCACAATACACAATACACAATACATTTACACAAAGCATTTTATATGTATACTAGCCATCGGTACCCGTTACATGGGCAATTTTGGTGACTGTTAGCTCTCTTCTCTTTACATTTAGGCTACCCGGTTTTTCTCCGCAGAGGCGTAGCGAGGGGGGGGCGGGGCTACATATGTCCCCGGGTGCCGACCTTAGGGGGCGCCAAAATGGGTTGGAAAAAAATTGAAAGTTTTAAGGAGTTGCAAATTGAAAGTTTGAGGGGGTGCAAATTGAAAGTTTGAGGGGGTGGTGCAAATTGAAAGTTTGAGGGGGGCGCCAAATTGAAAGTTTGTCCCCCGGGCGCCGGAAGGGTCGCTACGCCTTTGTATCTCCGGGTAGGGCATTTAAAACTGTCCGGGTGAGTGTGACTTTTAAAAAAAAAGTCATTATCGGAAAATTAGAAAAAGAAACATTTTATTGAAATGTAACATTGTTAAGAGTATGAAAACAAAAACGAAAAGAAGAGGTTTTGTTTTTATGTACGATCTATGTATATACTTGTCCAAAACAACATAGACTACTAATACCTATTAGGAAAATTAAAACCACATTATACACATTATTAATCAACACCATATTAAATGCACACGCTGGTTAAGAGGCTTAAAAATTAAGAACTTAAATGATTTTGTTAAAAACCCGTTCTGTTTAATGGTAGTTATGCTGCTTTTGCCTTTTTTTTAAAAAACCTATTTCAATGGAGCATGGGTCTGACCACACTATCGCCTCATATGCAGAGAAGGCAGATAGGTTAAACTCTACTACACCCGCCCCGTGTCTCGCCAAGTCTTTAAAAATTCTAGTGATCTAAATTCTAAAGTAGTGATAAAATAAATAACAATGCCACTGTGCTGAGCGTCAAAATTTTTTATTGTACACAGATAAATTCAGCCGCACTTTAATTTAAACTGCTTTTTTAACGTTTTAATGAGCATAAAATTATAGAGAAGCTGCGAATAATCGCTCACAATCTCTCTTTTTAAAATTATAATCAAACACTGTGTGCTTTCAAAAATTTTGTGTTGTTTTTAATAATTAATTTTGTTTCTCATTACCTTTAGTTTTTCCTTACATAAACCATTATTGGGGGTTGTTGTCCAGGTTTTTTTTTTGTAGTGTGGGGTTTTTGTCCAGGGGGTTTATGTCGCGGGGGTTTTAAATCCAGGGGGTTTATGTCGAGGGGTTTTTGTCCAGGGGGTTATTGACCGGACACCCGCCATTACTTTTGTGTTCTTTCCGCCGTTTAACCTTGTGATATGTGACGTCATTGTTTTTTGCGTTCATGTCACGACAATAAACCTTTTAGTTAGAAAAGTGTTTCTTCATTCGAATATGTCTTTATTTTATTTTCCTTCTTTAAAGAACATTTAGTTTATACATTTATAACGTCCACCATATTATTTTCCACAAAGTCCGTATCTATAAGGTCTCTATATATCGCTGAAAATACTGATGACGATGCCAAAAAATATTGCGGACAGAGAGAGAGAGAGAGAGAGAGAGAGAGAGAGAGAGAGAGAGAGGAGAGAAGTGCACCATGGACTTTTATATATTTAGATATTCGAGAAAGTTTAGGGAGATCAACCCGGTTTAATTTTGTTGTATCCTAATATAATTATATAAGCCCGTGCTGCAATTCTCACTGCAATATTTTTGGCAACGTCGTCATCATGCTCAACGATATATGGAGAACTTAGGGGATGCGGACTTTTGTTGAAAATAATATGGTACACTGTATAAATGTATAAGCTAAATTTTCTTTAAAGAATGAAAATAAAAATAAAAGCATATTCAAATATAGATCAGATTTCTAAGTAAAGCGTTTACTGTCTTGACAAGAACACATTAAACAATGACGTCACATGTCATATGTTTACACTAAGGAAAGAGCACAAAACTAATGGCGTCATCTTCCAATTTTAGAATATAGAGAAATGAACTATTTCATTCAAATTTAATTTAGATCTACGTACGCTATGAAATGTATACAATCCTTAATTATTTTATACTAGCCGTCCCGGCCAGGCCCTGCTCTGGCTTCTGTGAAAAACCTTTCTGTTAAAGACCATCACCTGTGTGTTTAGTAATCATCATAAACCCGGCATTGCCCACCCAAACCACAACCAACCAAAACCAAAACAACAAAACGCAAACATAACGCTAACACAATTACAAATACAAACGAAAACAAAAACCTAACAACAAACCCAACCACAACCATAAACACCAATACAAACACAAAGAAAAAAAAAACAAAAAAGCAAACGAAAACAAAAACCTAACAACAAACCCAACCACAACCACAAACACCAATACCAACACACAAAAAAACAACGAAAAAGCAAACGAAAACAAACCAAATCCAAACGCAAAACCAACCAAAAACACAAATACAAACACAAAGAAAAAACACAACCGAAAACGAAAAAAGAAAGAACAAAAACGAACCAAATCAAAACGCAACCACTAACGCAAACCCAACTAAACACAAAGAAAACACTGACGCGAACATAAACGCCCGGGGCGGAATCACCTGTTTTAGCTTAATGAACGACTATAGTACCCCAACTTATTCATAGTCTTTTGCACTCACTTAAACGAACGCGCCTGTTTCAATTTAACGAACAATTATAATACTCCAAGCTTATCCGTAAAATACCTACAACATTTGCACTTGATCAATCCCCGCTAATTATGTAATTATTTTTTTCCCAACACCAAAACAAAGTAATAAAAAGTAAATTCTTTTCCACTAATGCAATGGTTTTATAAAGGGAAGTAATTGTGCTTTCCTAATTTATCAAAAGGGAGTAAGTGCTATAGGACTAAATAAAAACATAATTAGAATTTTTGTAAAAGATGATATTTTTTAAAAACTTTTGTTTAATGAACATGCCGAAAATTATTATTATCAGTTTGAAAAATGAAAATTATTTCCCAACACTTTCAATAATATTTTTTTAACTCATAAATTTAGACAAATGCGCACGATAATAGTCTAACACTTTAATCCATAGAAGTATGTCAACGACAAACATATTTATTTTTACATACAGAATTGAGCTTTATATATTAGATAAATCTTTGTTGGCTTAGCTATGGAATTGGCTAATTTGGGATAAAATTCCTTTTCGCGTAACTAAGTTTCTAACGCGGATTCTCTATGTAAACTACACCACTTACTTCCCAGATAGCTTAGTTGATAGTATAATAGTTACCATGCGGGTGGTACGGGTTCAAGACACACCATGTAAATGTTAATATTTTTCCCTATGTTAAAAATGGTCAAGTTTCTAAAATGTTTCGCTATGTTAAAATGGTCAAGTTTCTAAAATGTGTCCTTATGTTAAAATGGTCAAATTTCTAAAAAGTTTCCCTATGTTAAAATGGTCAAGTTTCTAAAATATTTCTCTATGTTAAAATGGTCAAGTTTCTAAAATGTTTCCCTATTTTAAAATGGTCATGTTTCTAAAAATGTTTACCTATGTTAAAATGGTCAAGTTTCTAAAATGTTTCCCTATGTTAAAATGGTTAATTTTCTAAAATAAAGTATAATTGCCTAATTGTTTTGCTGTTGCTTGATCTTTTTATGATACTGGGACATTTTTTTCCTAGTTTCAAATCATATTATTTTTACTTTCTCGTATATACGAAGTATAGAGAAAGTCTTGTAATCGTGCAAAAAAATGTTTCCCTATGTTAAAATGGTTAATTTTCTAAAATAAAGTATAATTGCCTAATTGTTTTGCTGTTGCTTGATCTTTTTATGATACTGGGACATTTTTTTCCTAGTTTCAAATCATATTATTTTTACTTTCTCGTATATACGAAGTATAGAGAAAGTCTTGTAATCGTGCAAAAAAAATCGAGATTTTTGCAAATCTCGACGATTTACATCTCACTGATACGGAAAAACATAATTTTGCAATCTTGTCCGTATGTCTGTGTGTCTGTGTGTGTGTGTGTCCGTGTGTAAACACGATAACTTGAGTACCGTTACAGCTAGGTTGATGAAATTTCATATATATGTATTTTATCAAAAACGTAGATCAACTTTTCAGCGATTTCCGATAACCGGAAGTGGTACTTTTTCTACTTTGAATTTTTAGGTAGGTGCTCGGTCACGAAACCATCGAACTACACCCAAACATCAACTCACCTATTTCTGAACGACCTAATCACAATCACCAACGTAATTCAACCACTACCCATCGGAAATTACTCAAACGTAAAAAGTGGACCAAGTCAAGAAAAGTCAAGAAAAAGAAAATGATTTCTCTTTTAATGTAAAAATTTCATGTCTTACTATATAATTCAAGTATTTTGACATGCAACCTATCCACACAGAATGCTCCTGGCTCGAACTGTGTGGAAAGGACATAAATTAAACTTTAAAAAAAAAACAGAAGTGAAATTTATATATTAGATAATTACTCTGTCAGTTGGCCGTCGGTCTATCTAACCCGTTTTTTTCACGGCTGAGCGCTTTTTGCATGAGTGTCGACTATGTCTCAGAAGTGAGATATTTGTCTTTTATAGATGGAATTCGTAGACTTTGTGGCGTCAACATTTTTTACAACAAATAACTAAAAATGAAAATACAAATATTAAAACCTTTATAATGACAAAAACACAAAATAAGAAAAATAAAAAAACTTGCTTTAGTCAATCAAAGCTTTGTTCGCTATTGAGATCTATTACTGATTTTAGATGCTATAAAAGACAATAAAGGTTTGCTTTATATATATATATATATTTAATCCCGTGGTTCTGGTCGCGAGATTAGACTTGTGGATAAGTTCGTACCACTGCCACGTCTTGAAGTGCCCAGAATTTCTGGGAAATCTATCCGTAATTATAATTAACAAATGAATGCATAGCCCCTTACGACACGTTGGTCATTTTTGTACACATGTATTTTAACTAAAAAGTATTTCTAAGTAGAAACACGAATTTAAAATTATTTTGCAATAATCTTTTTCCGGCATCTCTTTTCTTTAATTTACGCACCAAGTTTTGTTTATTTGTTGAAGTGCGTTTTAAACCTTCAGATTGGAGTTAAAAAAACTGTTAACCTCATTTTGATGAAAATATTTGAAAATTTAAAACATTTATTTAATAATTTTCTACATAGCTTATGAATAGTTTATTCATCGAATATAACGTCTCATTCTCATACTTAGTACGTACAGTAGCGTAGGGGGGGGGGGGGGGGCGGGGGGACATATGTCCCCGGGCGACGACCATAGGGGGCGCCAAAATAGGTTGGAAAAATAAATTGAGAGGTTGAGGGGGGTGCAAATCGAAAGTTTGAGGGGGGTGCAAATCGAAATCTCGAGGGCGGGGGGGGGGGGGGTGCAAATCGAAAAGTTTGTTCCCGGGCGCCGGGAAGGGTCGCTACGCCTCTGAGTACGTTGCATTCCAGAACATAAATGGTTACTGACATTTTACTCAATTGTGACACGTTGTAAATATTTGTACACATGTCATAATTTGCATAATACTTGACCGACGGAGATGAAATTTGGCATATCATATCAGGAAACAGTGTTGGAAGGGGCTACTGAGAAATCAAATACTCGATTAATGCATAAACAGCTTGTTGTGAAATTAGCGAACTCATTATTTAAATACACAGTTCAGATAATTTTTTTTCAGTTTATCGACAGTATATGCTTCAGTCCCATTTTTACTATATGATCTTATAAACAGACACAAGACTTACCCTCTCAGATTAGTTGTAAGGACATCACCATTGCGGTATCTTACTCCAAGGTAGTTAAAACTTGCACCAATTATTTTTAAGTGGATTTCAACAATGTTCACGACATCGGTGACTACTTGAACACTCGGCCTTAACCTAGCAGAGAAATATATCATTGTGTGATCTAGACATTCAGTTGTGTGTGTGCGTGTGGAGGGAGGGGGGGGGGGGCAGTAGCGTAGCTAGGGGGGGCGGGGGGGACATATGTCCCCGGGCGCCGACCTTAGGGGGGGCGCCAAATTGAAAGTTTGAGGGGGGGGGTGCAAATGAAAAGTTTGAGGGGGGGGGGGGTGCAAATGAAAAGTTCGAGGGGGGGGGGGTGCAAATCGAAAATTTGCTCCCAAGGGGGCGTGAAATTGAAAGTATGTCCCCGGGCGCCGGGAAGGGTCGCTACGCCTCTGGGGGGGGGGGGGAGAAAGAGCTACAAAAAATAATAATAATGTTAAATAAATAATAATACAAAATAGTTTCAGCAATGTGTGATGGTTACAATGTGATGTAAGGTAGCTATGCAAGTGTTGTGAAGTAATTAGACAATAGTGTGAGGGAGTTGTGAGCGTAACAGTGATGAGATGACTGAAATACCTAAACAATAAACAATGGTGTTATGTAGCTACACGTTGAAGTAATGTTGGGGAGGTAGGTACACAATAATGCGTGGTATGTGAGGCAGCGACACAATTATGTAAAGTAGCGACACAATTATGTAAAGTAGCGACACAATTATGTAAAGTAGCGACACAATTATGTACAGTAGCGACACAATTATGTAAAGTAGCGACACAATTATGTAAAGTAGCGACACAATTATGTAAAGTAGCGACACAATGCTGTAAAGTAGCGACACAATTATGTAAAGTAGCGACACAATTATGTAGAGTAGCGACACAATTATGTAAAGTAGCGACACAATTATGTAAAGTAGCGAGACAATGCTGTAAAGTAGCGACGTAATGCTGTAAAGTAGCGACACAATTATGTAAAGTAGCGACACAATTATGTAAAGTAGCGACACAAAGCTGTAAAGTAGCGACGTAATGCTGTAAAGTAGCGACACAATGATGTGAGGTAACGACATAGTAAAGTGAGGTAGCGACACAATTATGTGAGGTAGCGACACATTGATTTGAGATAGCGACAAAATGATGAGAGGTAACGACATAATAAAGTGAGGTAGCGTCACAATGATGTGAGGTAGCGACACAATGCAGTGAGGTAGCGACACAATGATGTAAAGTAGCGACACAATGCAGGGAGGTAACGACATAAAAAGTGAGACAGCGACACAATGATGTAAAGTAGCGACACATTGCTGTGAGGTAACGACATAATAAAGTGAGGTAGCGACACAATGATGTGAGGTAGCGACACAATTATGTAAAGTAGCGACACAATTATGTAAAGTAGCGATACAATGCTGTAAAGTAGCGACGTAATGCTGTAAAGTAGCGACACAATGATGTGAGGTAACGACATAGTAAAGTGAGGTAGCGACACAATGATGTGAGGTAGCGACACATTGATTTGAGATAGCGACAAAATGATGAGAGGTAACGACATAATAAAGTGAGGTAGCGTCAAAATGATGTGAGGTAGCGACACAATGCAGTGAGGTAGCGACACAATGATGTAAAGTAGCGACACAATGCAGGGAGGTAACGACATAAAAAGTGAGACAGCGACACAATGATGTAAAGTAGCGACACAATGATGTGAGGTAGCGACACAATTATGTAAAGTAGCGACACAATTATGTAAAGTAGCGACACAATGCTGTAAAGTAGCGACGTAATGCTGTAAAGTAGCGACACAATGATGTGAGGTAACGACATAGTAAAGTGAGGTAGCGACACAATGATGTGAGGTAGCGACACATTGATTTGAGATAGCGACAAAATGATGAGAGGTAACGACATAATAAAGTGAGGTAGCGTCATAATGATGTAAGGTAGCGACACAATGCAGTGAGGTAGCGATACAATGATGTAAAGTAGCGACACAATGATGTAAAGTAGCGACACAATGATGTAAAGTAGCGACACAATGAAGTGAGCTAGCGACAAAATGATTTGTGGTAGCGTCACTATGATGTAAAGCAGCGACACAATGAAGTGAGCTAGCGACAAAATGATGTGAGGTAACGACACTATAATGTTAAGCAGTTATAAATAAACTACTGTTTTTGTACTTCATTGCCCATGCAACATATTTTTTTCCCCAGCCTTCGACTGGCACCAGCGTGAAAGAATCGGCTGACGCTCTTGTAACGACCTCGAAAACGATGACGCCAAATTTCCTTGCACCAACAATTTTGTAGCTGTGCTGTGTCCCTATTTGTTGGGTTGCTCTAGTCAAACAATAATATACATATGTATAAAATTATTGCCTCTTCATTTATTACATAAGTGTAGTGGGTATGTCAATTGAATACTTAAATTTATGTAGTGGCCAAGTCAATTGAATACTTACGTAATTGTCGAAGGGTGACAGGACAAATGATCTCAGGACAAATGATCTCAGACAAAATATCTCACGGACAAATTACCTCAGGACAAATTATCTCTGGATAAAAGGTTCTAAAGGACAAATGATCTCACGGACAAAAGATACCAGGACAAAATATATCATGACAAATGATCTCAGACAAAATACCTCAGACAAAATATCTCACAGCGAAATTTTAAAAGTGTATTTAAAGATTTTAGTTGATATGAACATTTTTTTCTATTGACTGTCAATGGTTTTGTTTACCATTTACGCATAATAATTGTGAATACAATGAATTTGTTAAACTTAACAAAGCATCAAAAGATTTATTAAACTTGATCTTTGCAATAGCATTTGATTTGAAAAATAAATATTAAAACAAACTCTGTTCTTTAGCCTGAAAGGTATATTCAATGATGATGAATAAAACAAATAAAGTAATGGTAGCTATACAATAATAATTTTCAAAATACGTGAAATATTTTTCAAAAATGTGAATGGTGCTTCAGGTACGTAAAGTAAAACTATTATTTTATTGCATCATCAACACAACCATAACTATTTTTTGTTTTTTGTTTTTCGGTGCTATTAAAACAGATGGTGAAATTAGACTTTTAGAGAATGCTGGAAAGGCTCTCTGTGGGCGCGAAAGCCTGGGAAAACGTGTTTTTAATATTCAACTCACTCTCAATAATTTAAGTTGATTTTTTTTATTACAACCGCATTGATTATTATATGTTAAGGTTCATAAGTAAAATAGAAAAATGTGAGGGTATTTATAATATTTTCTAATTAGTCTATGATCTCTTAAAATCACTATTTTTTGTTTTTGTCTTTCGGTGTTAACAGATGGTGAAATTTTAGAACTATAGTATAGAGAAGGCTGGAAAGGCTCTTGTTGTGGTTGTGTTGTGGTTGTTTTGTTTGTTTTTTATGCTGGAAAGGCTCTCTTTGGACGCGGACGCCTAGGAAAGCGTGTTGTTCGGTGGTGATTCTAATGTTGTAGTTGTGTTGTAGTTGTGTTGTGGTTGTGTTGTGGTTGTGTTGTGGTTGTGTTGTGGTTGTGTTGTGGATGTGATTGTGGTTGTGTTGTTGTTGTGTTGTGTTTTGTTGTTTGTGTTGTGTTTTTGTTTGTTTTGTTCTGTTCCCAAGTTGGTACATTTAAAAAAGATTTACCTTGGCGGAGCACGGGTATGTAGCTAGTTACTACATAGGACTATAAACAATAAACACAGTAAACAAAAACATATGACAGTCAATAAAAAAAATGTTCAGATCAACTAAAACCATCAAATACACTTTTTAGTCCTGGTATCTTTTGTCCGTGAGATCATTTGTCCTTGAGATATTTTGTCTGAGATATTTTGTCTGAGATATTTTGTCTGAGATCATTTGCCCATGATATCATTTGTCCTGATATATTTAGTCCTGGTATCTTTTGTCCGTGAGATCATTTGTCCTGAGATCATTTATCCGTGAGATATTTTGTCTGAGATATTTTGTCTGAGATCATTTGCCCATGATATCATTTGTCCTGAGATCATTTATCCGTGAGATATTTTGTCTGAGATCATTTGCCCATGATATCATTTGTCCTGAGATCATTTATCCGTGAGATATTTTGTCTGAGATCGTTTGTCCTGATATCATTTGTCATGGAACCGTTTCGAAGGCATTTTTATAAAAATACGTATATATGTTTAGAGGGCGTGTCAATTGAATACGTATATATGTGTAGTGGGCATGTCAATTGAATACTTACATATGTGTAGTGGGCATGTCAATTGAATACTTACATATGTGTAGTGGGCATGTCAATTGAATACTTACATATGTGTAGTGGGCGTGTCAATTGAATACTTACATGTGTGTAGTGGGTATCTCTATCGAATGAACTTGAAGTCTACGTAAAACTTGATGTATATTCAACTGTTCCCCATTAAACCATGGACTCGTCAGATCAACCTAAATAAACGTTAGTTGTGTTATCTTCCGCATTCTGTTCCATCTAAAGCTTAGTTGTTCCATTATTTTCTTTGTACTTAAACGTAAGGTGAATAATTAATTTTCTAAAATAGTGTTGAAATCTGCAATCTTTTTAATAAAAGTATTGCCTTTAATAACTAAAGCCCCCTATGTTGAGAAGGCGAGATAATCATTAACGAACAAAACTTAAAGCAGTCGGCGTTAGCATCTACGTACAACAAGATGTAACTTTCAATAGACATTGCCACATTGGATGCTATTTTGTTAGATGAACCACAGGAGCCACATGTGTGTTTATGAGTGGATATGTATATGATAGCGTGAGCGTGTGTGAGTTTGTGTGTAAGTGTGTATGTGAATAAGTATGAGTGTAGGTGTATGAGTGTGTGTGTGAGTAATTTTATGTGAGAGTGTATTTAAATTTATATTTATGAGAGTGTGTGTGAGAGAGAGAGAGAGAGTGTGTGTTTATGAATGTATGAGAGTGTGTTCGAGAATGTATGAGAGAGCGTGTGTGAGAGTTTGTGCGAGAGTGAAGGTGAGAGTATGTGTGTATGAGTGTTGTATGAGTGCGAGTGTATGTGAGTGTATGTGTGAGTGCGTATAGGTTTCTGTGTATGAGCGTCTTTGTATACATGTGTGTGAGTTTGAGGTATAAGTCTGTGTGAGTTTTGTGTGTGAGAGTGTGTGTTTGAGTGTATGCGTGAGTGTGTATAAGTGCTATTGTATGCTTGAATGTACTTATAATCAATAAAGACCTCATTTCATTATCACAACCGTATTTAAGCACCCAAAATCTGCTCATGATCTTCACATTCGGATTTCCGCGTACTGGCCGGTCAATGTCCGAGGTCAGGAACCTTTTCCTATATATATATATATATATATATATATATATATATATATATATATATATATATATATATATATATATAGGCATATATATATATATATATATATATAACTATATATATGATTCCATATGATCTCAGGACAAATAAGCTCGGAAAAAATATCTCAGACAAAATATATCACAGTAAAAATTTTATAATATTTAATATGATTTTAATCGATTTTAACGTTTAAAAAATTGATTTTCATTTTGTTTTTATATTCTTTATTTTCTAACACATAATAACTGTAAAAAAAAAAAGTTTGTCTCATAGGTTTGTCAATTACATTAAACCTATTAAAATTAGAATTAGAAATATAATATTCGTGAGATAAAAACGAAGTTTCGATAGACAATATATGTGGGCTTGCCGAACATGAGACAATACTACCCCATCAGGTGGAAGTTTCTAGATCAAAGGGTTAGCTCATGTTTGGATGTAAGGACTATGTGAACACACATACGCAGCAAGGTTGCCGCTTGCTTTGTTTGAAGAGAAATGTCTTAAAGGAGAAGATGCTTTATGTCCTTACCAAAAATATTGTGAAAATGTAGTTTAAATATGTTTGGCAGGTGTCGCATTTTTCAATTTTGAATGAAGAAATTAACCTTTTGTCATCTGCCCCTTACGAAACCTAGCCTTATTAATCAGTGGCGTAGCGAGGTCGGGTGTCACCCGGTGCGGCACTTAATGGTGTCACCCCCCCCCCAGAGGCATAGTGACCCTTCCCAGGGACAAACTTTCAAATTTTCGATTTGCACCCCCCCCCCCCCCTCAAGTTTTCGATTTGCACCCCCCCTCGAGTTTTTCTCTATATATTTTGCTATTTTTTGCCTTGGTGTCACCCCCCTAAATGGTGTCACCCGGTGCGGTCCGCACCCCCCCCCCCGCCCCCCCTCGCAACGCCCCTGTTATTAATACATCGGACCCAATTCGCTCATGGTTCTCTTTCCACCTCTTTGTTCGCCCTACGTCAAATACCAGGCTTACGTAACGAAACCAACAATGACCATACTGAGGAAAGCTTCGGAAGGGCAGTTGAAAGCTAGATTTTTTTTTATTTGCGGAATTGTCTGTACTGTTGTAGAATTGTTGCTATCTATATTGTTCTTGTATATAAAAACTAGCTGCATACCCGAGGCGTTTTATGCGTTATCGAGTCGTAAAAACTGCACTTTGCAATTATGTCCGTATGTCTGTGTGTGTGTTGTGTAAACACGATAACTTGAGTACCGTTACAGCTAGGTTGATGAAATTTCATATATAAGTATTTTATCAAAATCGTAGATCCGTATTAGCTTTTGAGCGGTTTCCAATAACCGGAAGTGGTACTTTTTTTGCTTTGAATTTTTCAAAAGCCTATAACTTGAGTACAATTTCAGATAGATAAATGAAATTTCACAAGTAAGTAAAAGATCTAATTTTCTGCCTTCTGTCAAATTTTGAGTTATTTCCGTTGACCGGAAGTAGTAATTGACGCTTGTTCCGATTTCTCAAAAAACTAATGTAAATTTATAAAGTACTAATAATATTGCGCACTATTATGCACATTTAATTTGGCGTTCTCTTGGTGTGCAGTTATTTTTTCTACGAGATTTTATTCTATTTTTAAAAGTTGAAGTATTTAAAATGGATTAATAATCATGTCTATATCCCGAGTTCCCATCCCCAGTTGTTTTTTTATTTTATATAAGAAAATTCGAGAAAGTTTAGGGGAGATCACTCCCGGTTTATTTTTATTAGCATGAGTTGATTTTATTTTTAAATTACCTCCGCTGGCATAAGTATTAAAAGATTTTAATTAATTATTTAATTACTTTTATTTAAATGTATCCACTTTCTTCTAGGAATCTAAGCGAAAATATTATTTGACACTGATCCGTTTAATATTTTTAGCAATGTGGTGTATTTAAAATTTTCTTCACGTTATGCAAAAAAGTAAAACCTGTAGCAACTATAAAATAAATTTAAGTTGTTATATAAACAAACCGTACTCTATCAATTTAATAAGACTAAGCTATGCTATGTAGAAGCACTTTACTTTTATAGCTCCAAAATCTATACCGATGACTGTCTGACACACTACCAACAGCCTTATATTATAGATATCTTTATTAAACTTGTGTTTATAATATTTGTTTGATGCAGCAATGACCTGCTTTTATAAATTACCATTTAACAATATCACTTACGTCAACATCCTTTGTGGACAGCGTAAATAAATATACTAAAAGTTGCTGGTCCGCTAAAGTATTTTCTATGTCATTCGGTACAACGAAGTAAAACTTGGTTCCCAAAGACGAGCTGATAGCTGTCAAATTAGAGATGTCAAGCTAGAAGTTATATATTTTCAAACAGCGTAGTATATAGGCCTACACATTTTCTGTTAGCGAATACACTAACCTTTGATATATATATATATATATATATATATATATATATATATATATATATATATATATATATATATATATATATATATATATATATATATATATATATATATATATATATATATGTATATATATATATATAGAGAGAGAGAGAGAGAAAGAGAAAGAGAAAGAGAAAGAGAAAGAGAAAGAGAGAGAGAGGGATATATATTCATGTATTTACTTACGCTTATACGAAGTATAGAAGTAGGATTGTAAGTGCAAAATATTGAAATCGATTTTCACAAATCTTGATGGTTAACCCTTTACCTCTCCCCTCCCCCCCCCCCCTTCCACCCCACCCTTGAGTCGGAAAAACTGGTTTTGCAATTTTGTCTGTGTGTGTGTGTGTATGCCAGTGCATGTCTGTAAATACGATAACTTGAGTTCCGTTTTAGTTATGAAATTGTATGTATATGATCATATCAAATGTGTAGTTCTGAATCAACTTTTGAACGATTTTTGGTAATTGGTTTTTAATAGCCAATAACTTGCTAACTGTTTCAGCGAGGTAGAAGAAATGCCATGCATAAGATCTAGTTCTCTAGTTTCTATCAAATTTTGAGTTATTTCCTGTGACCGGAAGTAGTACTTTATGCTATTTTGATTTCTTCAAAAACCATTAAAGATTTAATAATAATCTAGTATACGTTATGGTCAAAAACTTATGAGCAGAATTTTGAGCACTTTGACCGAAATGATTAATTTCAAAATTTAATGAATTTCTAGACTTGAAGACAAGGTTACTTCATTAGATGGTTATTTAACTTTTTTTTTTAATTAATCAAGGTTTTCTTTAAATAATACACATTTTGCGCACAATTATACACATATTATTTGATCTTCATTTGGGAGCGTGATTATTTTTTGCCACGCGATTCTTTTCTACTTAAAAATATAATTTGAAAAAATTGAGTTTTGCCGGCACAGTGAGGTATAAAAGTTCCAGATTTGTTAAAAACTTGATTTCGATTTTTTGCACGATTACAATAATTTGTCTTACTTTGTATACAAGAAAGTAACTAGAGCGTAAGCCAACTGCGCTTATGTGGTATGACCCTAGGTCAAGAAAAGGATTAATTTTCCTGGTCTTTTTTCTAAATTTAGCGCTGTTTTAGATATTTAAAATGTACTAGAGCAAAAAAAAACCTGATGTACAACCTTAAGTATATAAATGAATTCATTCGGTTAAGAAAAAACTATAAATCGCCATTAAATTCACTACATTAACAATTCACGACAAAGAATATACCATAAAGTGCATATTACAAAGTACACTATTTCAGTACACACAACTAGAGACACAAATAAGTGTGTCTATTTTTATGTCTATAATAGTAAACAATTCGAAGTTTTACAGTATCAAAATTAACACTTATCAAGATGCTAGTAAACATGCTGTAATAACAATACTGGAGATTATAACAAAAGCAGTTGCAATAATAACAGTTGTAACATTGGAAGTTGTAAAAGTAGCAGTTATAACAGTGGTGGTTGTAGCAATGGCAGCTGTAATAGTGGTAGTTGTAGCAATAGAATTCGCTACACTAAGAGATGTGACAGTAGCAGCAGTTATAGTGGTAGTTCTAATAATATCATTTATAAAACTGGTAGACAGTTGTAACAGAGGTCAGTGTTTCTTCCAGACTTTTTTCTCCGGGGGGGCACTTGAAATTTTCGGGGGGGGGGGGGGGGGCGGTAGACTTTCTTCGGGGGTACGGACACTGTTAAAAGTATATATTTTCTATATAAATTATATAAATTTCATTTCGTTCGGGGGGGGGGGGGCGGTAAAATTTTTTCGGGGGGGCGAACTGGAAGAAACTCTGACAGAGGTAATGTAACTATGGTAGCTGTTACAGAAGCCGTTTTAACAGTGGTAGTAGTAAAAATTATAGCTGTTAAATGGCAGCAGTGGAAGCTGTAACAATAGCTGTTGTAGCATTATCAGGTTTAACAAAAGATTTTGTGACAATTGCATTGGCAAGAATGATCGTTTTAACAGTAGAAGCTGTTAAAGTAGCGGTTGTTGCCATGATACTTGCAACAGACGATTACAGAGTTTCTTCCAGGCATCTCTTCGGGTGGGCGGGGGGGGGGGGGGGGCTTTGCCATTGAAATTTTTTTACCGCCCCCCCCCCCCTCCCCGAACGAAATGAAATTTATATAATTTATATAGAAAATATATACTTTTAACAGTGACCGCCCCCCGAAGAAAGTCTACCGCCCCCCCCCCCTGAAAATTTCAAGTGCCCCCCCCCCCCATCGGAGAAAAAAGTCTGGAAGAAACACTGGACGATTAGCATTTTTAAAGTATTTGTACAAAACAGGACTAGTTAGTAGTTTGTTTGTTTTTTTGTTTCTTTTTGGGGGGAGGGGGGGTTTAATGTTTTTTTTTACTGCTCAAAACTAAATTTTAAAAAATTAACTGTCCAAGTTTTCTTACCTTTAGATGTCTGTATACAACAGTTGAAAGATACAAAGACTTTCAACAGAAACAGCAGAAAGCTTGCTATTGAAAAGAGAAATACGTGGGAATATTACATGTTCATATAAAATTGCATTTGTCTAACATATGCCCACTCATTGTCGACGATGGGCTGTTTCCTACAGATATTAAATTTATGATCATAGTTTGGAGTTATGGTTTAGTTCAGTTAATTAATTGTAAGAGTTTAGGACGCGACACTAATAACCCCTTAATGCCTGAATTATGTTCTAAGCGTGTAAAAAATTATTTGTGCTTATTTTCTCTCATCATACTGACACTGAATTTGAGGTATATAGTTGTTTTAAATTTGGACTTATTTTTTATGCTAATTACGGTATGTCGCAAAAACGCGACATCCGGCACTTACGGACTAAACAGTAACTTAAATTTTTTTGAGTCCGGGTCATTTACTATTTTTACTGACATGTGTTTCTCTACGTATCCACGCATTAACAATAGAATATCACCAGTGGCGTAGGCAGGGGGGGTTAGGGGGGGGGGGTCATAACTCCCATAGACCCCTCGGTATATATATCAAGTATGAGGGGGTGCAAATCGAAAGTTTGAGGGGTGGGAGTGCAAAACGAAAGTTTGAGGGGGGGGGGGGTTGCAAATCAAAAAGTCTGAGGGGGTTGCAAAGCGAAAGTTTGAGAGGGGGGGTTGCAAATCGAAAGTTTGTCCCCGGGTAAAAATTGGAACCCCCCCCCCCCATCCTTTGAGGCGATCCTGGCAACGCCACTGAATATCACAAACTAAACATACGGACATGCCAGGAGATGTAGACTCACTTGCAAAATTCATGAAAACTATAGTTTATTTGCTCAGGCATAGAGTTACATAACTCTGCTGCACCTGCTCACTGACTAACTATTATGAATGGGTATTGTGAAGCCTAGCTTTCACTACATATGAAAGGACTTCTTTAAATGTGTAGAGCCTTAGTTGTCTCCGGTTACGTCATTTTCGTAAACTCCTATTCAAGGTCAACTAATAAAGACGCATATTTCTCATTTGACCTATATTTGCTATACACACAAAGCACGTGAACAAATACTGTCCTAAATGACAGTGTTCAGCCGTTGTATATTCGTCCATGCTCAATGCAGCTGCTGTGGGTACTTAGTGTCACTGCTGTGGGTACTCAGTGCCACCGGTGTGGGTACTCACTGCTATTGTTTATGGTACCCTATGTTTCCGATTTCGGTTCTTCGTGCTACGGCTGTTGTGCTCAAATGCTTCTGCTATGGATTACCAATGACAGTGCTGTAGCTACGTATTGCCACTGGTATAAGTACTTAGTGCTGAAACAGTGGGTACTGAGTGTTGAAGCCATGTGTACTGAGTGCTGAAGCTGTGGGTACTAACAGTTGAACCTGTGGGTACTCAGTGTTATTGCAGTCTGTTCTTGGTGTAACTGCTGTGGGTACTCAACCTTGGAGCTGTTGATAATCGATAACGTTGCTGTGGTTACTCAGCCTTAGCAATGGTTACTCAGTATCACTGCTGTGAGTGCTTAGTGCTCAAACTATGGTTGCTCAGTCTCATTGATGTTGGTACTCAGTGCTGAAGATGTGGGTACTCAATAACACTGCTGTCGGTACTAAATACCAGGATAATGCCACTAATGTGGGTATTCAATAGCACTGCAAAGTGTATTTTTGTCAGTATTCACCCTTACTGTATTTATTACGAGGTGTAGGTCTATGCTCAGTGTTATTATTATCAAGGTCACTGTGAAGACCTTTCTTTTGTTGTATCTAGGATAGTAGTCCACCACCTCACTTCCAGTTGTCCATCTATTTTTTATGTTCTCCTAATATTTTACAATGCTATTTCAAAGCTAAATTCGTTATATTGTACCCAGCAACATGATCACATTATTCCAGCATCGCTCTCTCTCTCTCTCTCTCTCTCTCTCTCTCCATATGCCAATGTCGATGAAACAGATGAACTCTACTTCACCTACCACATGGACCGTAACGTTCTAAAGTGCACATTTATATATAGGCGAAGACTACATTGTAAATCCTTTACTTATTTATAATCATACTGGAATGAATTACAGCTTGGCGACTAATCGTATTTTGTTATACCTGCTTGGCACCCAAGAACCATATTATGTCTTATTGCCGGATGTCGCGAAAACGCGACAAACCGTAATCAGCAGATACCTTCCAAAATTATTCTCATATGTGATTTATACTGTTTGTATACATAAAAGATAGAATAATAAAGCTATTAGTTTTTTTTGTAGCAAAAACGGATCACCTATTTAGTAATAATAATCAATGTAAGTAGGCTGCTATGCGCTAAATCGGTATGTCGCGAAAACGCGACAGTCGGCGTTAAGGGGATAAACCGTTCTAAAACGATCTGTTAAAGTTGTATTGGCAGTAATGGGTACCTTCGGCTTACATTAGTAACATTTTGTTGCATCATTTTATTGAATGTATTTTTATCATATCATAAAGTAATTAGCCAAAGTTTAATAAATTAATAAAACGCTAATTAAGCCTCGTAAATAAATTTCGAGCGCCAATTTACAACTTACTCATTTTATTTTTAAAGACGCTCTCCTTTCTCAGTTAGAAATAGAATCTAGATCTACCAATTTATGAAAGTTCCACACACTTCTCAAAAAAGGCAACGCACTATACACCATGTTTGTGCACGGTGCGTCTTGGGTCGTTCAAAGTCTTGTGGGGGTAAAAACCCGATGTAAGGCAGGTTTGCAAAGTTGTGCATCTGCAAATATTAACCAGTGCAAGAATGAATTGTAAAAACAATTCTTAGAATTTTTAATAACAATCTTTTATATAATAGGTAGGAAAAGCCTATGTAATCATACTAAGTTTAATTTTTTTTAATGTGGAAAGCGATAAATTATAGCTACATTTTTAAAGTTAGAGCCGTTTGGGAACCATCGATTACACTCATTTTCATATATATTTGTATTGAACATAAGCCGTTGAAAATAATTTTGAACTATTATATCAATTTAAATATTTAATAAACCTAAAGTTGCCAGGGAGAGTGAAAGGATGAAAGTCATAACATTTGTTATCCATGATAAATACGGACAAATAAAAAATAAACTAAATGTCAAGCAGGGGAATATTTTCAGTTCGAGTCAGGCTTTAAAAATTCGTTTGTATCCCTTTTCATTATAGCTGGCTTATTTTTCTATTACTGTTATGCTCAGATTATTAAGATCTAACATTATTCTTATTAATTGTTACCTATTTAAAAAAAATGTTTTCAACGCAAGTTTCATAATTTTTTTGGCCTGCTCTACGCCATGCTACTGTTATTTAATTATTTATTGTATATATATATATATATATATATATATATATATATATATATATATATATATATATATATATATACACTAGATCTATTCTAATTTATATAAACAAAATTTAATACTAACTAGATCTTTGATCTTAAACAGAATCAAGTAGTTAGCTAAGTAATTTTATACTATAAGTATAAAGTATGTATAAGTTGGTCTAATATATAATGATTATAATAATACTTAAAGTACTAGAATCTAGATCTAATATAATTAATAATATTAGTTAGTAGCCTAATAGTATCTAAGTATAGTAATACGAATTAACTTACAGTATAGAAATAAAGTAGGTCTACTAGTATAGTAGGTGGATCTAGACTATGTATAGTTTTACTAATCTAGCATTGCTATACTAGAGTTTATACTCTATTTACGTTAATATCAATGAATAAGGTGTCTGGTAATAATAGATACATTCAATAATTTTGACCCATATTTCATATCGTAAATGTGTAGCTCGTATAGGTAGTTTTAGACTAGTCGTGTAGTAAATAGTTAGTCTTAATATTTACTTAGTAGGGGTCTATATACAGTGGCGTAGCTAGGATTTTCTGGCCCCTATGCAAAAATTATTATCGGCCCCTAAGTCAATCTGTAAATCGTGTATTTTATACGTCCTAATTGTGTATATATACGGCATTATTATGTAGTACCTCGAAACGTAAAATACCATTGATTATATATCACTTTTATATAAAAACAAATTAACAATTTAACTTAAACACAGTAGCGTCACAGGGCAGGGGCCTCACAATTTAAGCGTGATACCATGACAAAAACTCGTAAAATTCACTGTCAAAACTATTTTTATTCAGTTAAAAAAATTAAATATTATGGAGAGGGGTTACACTACCGCCGAAAATGCAAAATTGTTAGACGGGGTGAGGGTGACACTCACTAAACGCACCGGGTGATACCGAACCATTTTTTTTTAAGTTTCTCATGATTTTTTAAATATTTTTTAGATTATATATATATATATATATATATATATATATATATATATATATATATATATATATATATATGTATATATATATATATATATATATATATATATATATATATATATATATGTGTGTGTGTGTGTGTGTGTGTGTGTGTAACTTTTTAGTATAAATATGTAAAATTTAGGCAAAGCTTCAAATCTTTATTGACTTCTGAGAATCGTTGCACCCCTTGAATGGACGAATAGGGGACACGTTACTGTTTCACCGATTCTTCAAAGTGTACTGTGGCAGATGGGGCGTGTTGTGGGGACCAAATAGGGGGCTCGAAAATTGTCGTTACATTTATTTATATATTTAAAATCGTTTTTATAATTGTATTTTTTTAACCATTGCCAAGGCCGAGTTCTATTTCCCCTACAATATAGTACACTTTCTATAGTTATTTAATATAATTATATAATTAAAAGGTAGTTATTAATAAAGGCGATTACACATTTTGGCGATTCCCTTTGGAAAGCGCCCTAGGCAAGGGTCTAGTTCGCCAAATAGGTAGCGCTGGCCCTGTAGTTTTTCAAAATTGAAAATAATTGCAGGGGCGGAGACCCCGCAATACGGCTGGGGGGGGGAAGCAAATTAAAAAGAAATTTCTTCCGGTAAATATTCTGAAAATAAAGCATCATGAGGAATACCTAAATAATGAAAACAAATTAATCCAAAATTAATAACATAAATGCAAAAAAAAAAAAAATCTATGAATAAAACGAACACGAAAATTATTTCAAAAGTTTCCTTGTTTCATAATCTTCTTATCGAGTTGCTAGATTAGAAGGTAGGCCTACACTATTCATAATTTTCGGCTTCGGCGAACATAAATGACATATTATAAACCTTGATTATTTCTGACCAAAAAAAATGAGTTTGTGTGGTTTGATGTCTCATGATGGATAAACTTTGCTGTGAAATAGCTTAAGTGGTTTAATTAAAAATTTAGTGAGACAGTTTACTAATATATAAAAAAATATTATATACATATATAATATATAATATATGTATGTATATATAATATATATTTTTATATTATACATATCATATGGGGTCCGGAAAAAAAATGCGGGGGAGGAGGGGGCGGTTTGATAAGTTTTGACAAATAACCTGGTGGAGGTGTACAAAGGATATAAAGATAGGTGGCGTTACGACCATATTTCGCAAAGAAATGAAAGAACCCGAAACACCTGCTTTGGCCGGACTACATGTTAAATATCAACAAAATTTGAAGTATATTCTAGTTTTGTCCATTGCAGATTGTGTAAAACAAATTTATACTATTTTCTCTGGACTGATTTAGTTGCAATTGTGATATAAGTGTGCTAAAATTGTTAAGTTTTTTTTTTTTTTTGTTTTTTTTTTTTGCTGTTAAAAAGAAAAAATTACATTTGGTATTAATAAAGAAAATACAATTACAAGTAGTACAAGCTGTATAAATAAAAAATATATTACATTCAACCCACCTACAACGCCACGAACGTTAAAATATGCCATCTATATCATTAAAGGTGGGTAGGGTGAGATTGGGTAAGTTGACACAAGACAAATTTAACAAAGCTACAACACTACAATCTAGTCAACAAACCATTATTAAACAGAAATCAATTAGTGGTGATGCTTCTAATTACAATAACAACAACGCATGATATTACATTTTTTTCGCAGAACCCCCCCCCCCCCCCCCCCAGGAACATTCTCAACAACTTCCCAAAGTTTCACGGCGATGTGATAAGACGTATAGTAATGCATAAAAGACAAACACACAGACACACATACATTGCTTTAAATATATATATATATATATATATATATATATATATATATATATATATATAGATTAAATGAACCAATGCGGCCCTGTTCAGTGATTCATATTGGATCGTCATTGTATTTGAATCCAGTTGTCCTAAAAGGTCGACAACCGCTCCGCATCCTCCCCTTGTCGCAGGGTCTAGCGGAATGGGTAGTTCCACCATACGTACTTTCTCTAAAATATGAAATTGAGGCTTAAAAGCAAATCAGTCTTTAATGAAAAGTAAATATCCCTAATGCCGGCTTAACATCTACGGTTAGTTAATTAACTGGTAAATATATGTTCCTTGAGGAAACATGGATAATTACCTTGAATTTTTTTAATGTATAGCCTTTCGGATGTGTTGCATATTGTGTGCTTCCGAAAAGATCTTCTTCAGTTAATAATTCATAGCCCTGTTTTTCGGGCCTAAAATACATTAAAGAAGCAATTTTGTAGAGGAGATTAACGGCTAGAGAAAAATGCTGCATCACCATAATCCTAAAAAATGCTTGATCTGAAAAGCTTTGCCAGAAATTGCAGACCGTTGTAAATAACATAAAAGCAAAATTTTTAAAAAGTAAAAACAACAAATTGTTATGGGAAAAGTGTTTTTAATCAAGTTTAATTAACAATAAATTGAGTTTTTTTAAGTAGTAAAATGTACTGAAACCAATGTAAACAACGTATATTGTAATTACAAATTTGTTTTACATTTTTTAATTAAATAAGCCAAAATATATCTTTTAAAAACCAAAATGTAAAATTTAAAAAAAAAATTGTTATTATTTTTATTTTGTTTCATCTTAGTTTGTTTCCAATATAAAGTATTTAAACTTTTAAGTTGAAATTACTATGTTATTTAATAACTTTTTCCTTTTTTTAATAATTGAAGTAAAATAAAAATAAATTTTTAAAGTAAAAAGAAAAATACATTTAAAAAATTGTACTATCTACATTATTATAATCAATGTTGATAAACTACTTGGACAAATAAGTTTTAATCCTTTTTAGAGTCTTTGTATCAAACAAAAGACTTGAAGAAAAATTTCAAACAAATATTTTCACCATCTTTTTGTACTTTTGAATTAAAATATAAATTATGTTTAAAAAATTAAAAAGTAAAAATTGCTATATGTATAAAGCATTATATACAGTAAAATATAAATTTAAATAAAAGTATGTCATTTCACATTTTCAGCGTCAGCATTTAATATCTATTAAATTTTCGTTTTTATTTTCAGAAGTGTAGAGTATTTGTTTAATTATATTAAAATATGTACTCAGCTGTATTTAAAAGCATTTTTAATATAGGAAATAAACACACATTTAGTAACATTCTTATACAATGTATGTTTTGCTTTAAACTATCAACAATATAATAACCTGATTGATTTTATAATGTAAAAATCACCTTACCGTTAAAATTAAAGTATAAGCTATAAATAAAGTTAAATTTTATAAAAATAATAAAATGATATTAATATTAGAAATGATCCAAGTAACAAAACTTTAAATACTATTTCCTTTAGTTTGCATTTACTGAACTATATTTTCTTATAAAATATCTATAAAAAACTGTTTAACATACTTTTATATGAAGACAAAAAAAGACATAATGTAAAAAGAAAAGAAGCAAATTTCAAATATTAGCAAACTACTCTTTGCATTTAAAAAATTTACAATGTTTTATTATTCTTGAAAAAATGTTTTGTAAAATTTATATGTAAAAGCCTGCTGTAGTTTATTTTTCTACAATTTTTTAGGGAAAAAAATCATTGCTCACATTATTATATAAACATAAAAAGATCCATCCAGAAAAACAACAGCACATTGCTTTGAGAGAAGTTTTATTTAATCAACCTTAATTTACACAATTTTTTTTAATCTGTAAAGTTTACGGAAACAATTATAAACAACGTATATTTTAGTTACAAAGAAGTTTGTTAAAAAAGACATAACATTTATTTTTGAAAACTAATTTGTAAAATAAAAAAAAATACTATGTTATTTAATAACTTTTTCCTTTTTTAACAATTTTAGTAAAATTAAAAGAAATATTAAAAACAAAAATGCATTTTTAAAATAGTGCTATTTGTATAATTATAATCATTGTTTGTTAAACTGCCTGGACAAATAAGTTTTAATCCCATTTAGAGTCTTTGTATCAAACAAAAGAACCGAAAAAAAAATTTAAACAAATATTTTAACATCTCTTCTACATTTAAATTACAACCTAAATTAAAAATTAAAAAGTTAAAACTGCAGTATGTATAAAGCATTATATACAGTAAAACAAAAACTTAAATAAAATTATGTCATTTCAAATAATGTAAAAAGAAAAAAGAATGAAATTTTATAATATTTGCAGTTTAACCCTTATATTTATAAATGTACAATTGTCATGTTTCTTTTAAAAAAACATTTTTGAACAAATTATTCTATAAAAAATAAAAAGATACATTCTGAAAAAAAGAACTTTTTAGGCTTTTAAATTACTTTAAAATATCTACAAAAACGTTTTTGGGTAAACATTATTAAAACACCACACAATGCTGTTCTTGTTTTATAGTCAAAAAGAAAATTGAAAAAAAAATAAAGTGTTAACTAATTTAACGACTTGTAAGGCATCCAAGAAATCTCACTTAATTATTTAACACTTGTTTTGTTTTCCTTTTTTCATATGCAGCACTCATGGTTTAGGCAACATTGTCCAGTTCCAATCCTAAATTACGCCTGTGGACCCTTGCTTTACGACGTCTTCCAACCAAAATCGCCAAGAGTACCATCAGGATGACGTACACAACGAAGCTAATCACTGCCTGAGCAATGAAGAGATCTGGAAAGAAATAATGAAAAGACAAAAGCTATTTAGATGTTTCCTTTTTGAGTGAGAATTATCAAAAGGTTTTTACCCATCGTACCCTCGATTAAGTTACAATGGTGGGGTGAAAATATTTCAAGTACATTTTTACATTAAAAAATAAAAGCCTATATTAAGAGTTATAGCGCTCTGTAAAATGCTTATAGATTAAGTTTTTTTTTATCTGCATTCAAAGACCAGAATTATCAACTATTAAAAATGTATAATTTTATAACCTGAAATCCAGTTTGAGTTAGTGGCTCCATTTAGGGGTGAATTAGCCATCGTACCGTCAGGCTTAGTAACTCCATAAATAGGAGTGATAGTAGACTTGTTGGAACGTTCCTCGGTACTGTTATTACCGAAATCATATGAATATGTGTCATTCTTTTTCACAGACATCGAATCATGATTAGTGTTATTCTTTGCTTCATCTTTAAAAACATGAGTCGTGTCATCATCTTCTGCATGGTATTTCTTATTTTCTTTTTTTAAGCTTGGTTGATTTGAGGGGCTGTTGATAAAATCGATTTTTTTTCTCAAAGCATTTGTATCACTTGAGGTATTTTTCAACGTACTTCCTGGTCGATTATTTACAAAAGTAAAACTCCTTGGAGGGAAAGCAGGATTCTGAGTTGAATCTGAAGTGGTGGCCGCAATGGGGGTTACAAGTGACGACACAGTGGGAAAGCCATAAGTACTCAGAGTTGATTGAACAATGGGTGCTACAGTTGACGTCCAAGGTGGAGTGGTGTGAGCAGCCAGATTTGATTCTCCCATGGAGACCGCATTGGGTTTTACAAGTGTCGACTCAGGTGGGGTAGTAGAAGTGCCCAAAGTTGAATCTACCATGGTAGGATAAACAGCTGGCGACCCAGGTTGAGTGGTATTAGAAACATAAGTTGATTCTACCATGGTGGGTGCAGTGGGATACACAGCTGAGGATGCGTTTTCACTAGTGTTAGTTCCCCCAGTTGATTCTACCATGGAGACCGAATCGAGCTTAACAAGTGTCGACTCAAGTGGAGTAATAGTAGTACCCTCTGTTGATTCTACCATTGTGGGCGAAGTGGGATACACAGCTGACGACCCAGGTGGAGTGTCAAAAGTAGCCTCAGTTGATTCTACCACTGTGGATGCATTGTTGGGCACATCATTGGGATACACAGGTGACGACCCAGGTGGAGTGTCATAAGTAACCTCAGTTGATTCTACAAATGTAGATGCATTGTTGGGCACATTGGGATACACAGCTGACGACCCAGGTGGAGTGTCATAAGTAGCCTCAGTTGATTCTACCATGGTAGGCGGATTGGGTTTTACAAGTGTCGACTCTGGTAGAGTAATAGTAGTACCCTCTTTTGATTTTACCATGGTTGGCGAAGTGGGATACATAGCTGAGGTTTCATTTGCAGTGATATTAGTAGCATCGGTTGATTCTACCACTCTGGATGCATTGTTGGGCACATTGGGATACACAGCTGACGACCCAGGTGGAGTGTCAAAAGTAGCCTCAGTTGATTCTACTAATGTAGATGCATTGTTGGGCACATTGGGATACACAGCTGACGACCCAGGTGGAGTGTCAAAAGTAGCCTCAGTTGATTCTACCACTGTGGATGCATTGTTGGGCACATTGGGATACACAGCTGACGACCCAGGTGGAGTGTCAAAAGTAGCCTCAGTTGATTCTACCACTGTGGATGCATTGTTGGGCACATTGGGATACACAGCTGACGACCCAGGTGGAGTGTCAAAAGTAGCCTCAGTTGATTCTACCACTGTGGATGCATTGTTGGGCATATTGGGATACACAGCTGACGACCCAGGTGGAGTGTCAATATTATCACCCTCGACAACTGTTCCTGTAAAGTAAGAATACTGCCTTAATAATTTTATTATATAAATACTACAAATGGTAGCTGCATTGAGTTATTCATTCTAGCGCACGTGTTTTACGTTATTTTGGAATAAATTCTGAAAATATTACACTGATTTTAATTGCATTTACCTGAAAGCGTTTTACCTATATTTTGTATATAACTATAAAGAAAAGCGTGGGTCGCTTCCTAAATATTATTAAAAGTATCCAATAGATAATATAGTGACCCACGCCAAAAATTGTGAAATGAAAAATGTGATATAAGGGAAGCTGGTTAAAAGTATATGAACACGTAAGCTTGATTTGTGTAATTCTTTTCTTGCGTTCTATTTTTATGATTTGTTTTATTTATATTATTAATTTTAAACACATTCATTTTTATAGCTACGCTAGGTTGATAGTGTTGTCTTTTTCTCTAAACCAAAACCAAAATTCACAATCTCAACTTAAAATTTAGCCGGAAGCAAAAAACGTCATTGAAAATGAATTTTTTTCCGAATCGGCATTTTAATCGGATTAACGTTTGATCTACCTGTAGTTACTGCACATTGATACTAATTATAGTCGTAGCCATACCCCTAAACCTCTAACATAAGATCAAACCTGACAAAAGTTGCACTTAGAGTTTCTTTTAGGCGACTCTGAGGGGCGTGTCCCCCTCCCCCTACCACCCTCCCCGAAGCGCGTCCCCTTCAACAAAATACAATTTATAAAGAAAACATAATCTTATACCAGGGTCCGACCCCTCCCAGAAAATGTAGTCCACCCCCTACCCCGAATATTTCAAGCACCCCTCTCGGGGAGAAAAATGAAACACTGGTCGCATTTGTAGATCATACAGACTAAAGGAAGAGCCTACTTCTATAATATAGAGCCGTTTTCTACTTTTGGACGATAAATCTCACTCACGCGGACAGTGTTTCTTTCAGACGTTTTGCCGGGGGTGGGGCACTTGAATTTTTACAGGGATCAGTACAATTCTCCTGGGCAGAGGCGTAGCGATGGGGGGGGACATATGTCCGCGGGCGCCTACCTTAGGGGGGGGGGGGGGCCAAATTGAAAGTTTGAGGGGGGTGTAAATGAAAAGTTCGAGGGGGGGGGGGGGTGCACATCAAAAGTTTGAGGGGGGGTGCAAATGAAAACTTCGAGGGGGTGGGGTGCAAATCGAAAGTTTGAAGGGGGTGCAAATGAAAAGTTCGAGGGGGGGGGGTGCAAATCGAAAGTTTGAGGGTGGGTGCAAATGAAAAGTTCGAGGGTGTGGGGTGCAAATCGAAAGTTTGTCTCCGGGCGCTGGGAAGGGTCGCTACGCCTCTGATCCCGGGCGTGGGAGGCCATGTTGTTTCATATAAGAATATTCGAGAAAGTTTAGGGGAGATCACTCCCGGTTTATTTAAAATGTCTTTAACGCAAGTTTCATAATTTTTATTAGTACTGCTCTACGGAGTCTACACACTACACAATCCACGCCATACTACGGCTTTAAGAATTAATATAAAAATACTAGAAAATATATTCTAATTTATATAAACTTAATATTTAATGAATACTAACTAGCTCGTTAGATCTTATAGAGATGCAAGTAGCTAGCTAAGTAACTGTAGGCCTATAAATATACTATAAATAAGTATTAGATATAGAACTAGTATAATTTGGTCTATTATTAATTAATTATTATATAATTTATAATTTTTATATTATAAAAGTAAAGTAGGCCTACTAACAGTGACGTAGCGAGGGGGGGGGGGGCGGGGGGTGCGGACCGCACCGGGTGACACCAATTTTGGGGTGACACCAAGGCAAAAAATAGCAAAATATATAGAGAAAAACTTGAGGGGGGGTGCAAATCGAAAGTTTGAGGGGGGGGGGGTGCAAATCGAAAACTTGATGGGGGGTGCAAATCGAAAGTTTAAGGGGGGTGCAAATCAAAAACTTGAAAGTTTGTCCCCGGAAAGGTTCGCTAGGCCTCTGGGGGGTGACACCATTAAGTGCCGCACCGGGTGACACCCGACCTCGCTACGCCACTGCTTCTAGCCAACCAATTTATCTGAAATTCCGCACGTGAGTCAAGACTTGAAGAAAATGCAATTACATTTGACTTAATTTGATGCCTAATTAATTTTGTATGAATTAAATAAACATTTTCTGAAATTAGTAGGCTGACCTACTACTCTTTCCGGACTATTATACGGGCATTTTCATGTTCATTTGGTGCAAAATAGTTTTTAGTCATGCAACTCTGTTGTAAATTTTAAAATAAAAGTACTTTAAAAAATTGCATAAAAACGTTTTAATTACAAGCTTTTATTTAATTATGTACTAAGAAGGAGAAAACTAAAACTTGTTATTAAAACGTTTTAATTCAATTTTTTTTACATGCATCCTAGAAATTAGCAATACCAGTTGCAATAATTATTTAAATTTTGAACATAAAAGACATGTATAAAATAGGCTAACAATAATAACAATATCATAATAGCATTATAATAATCAAACATACATTACAAAAAATATTTTAAACAATAGCCCCATTTATTTATTTTGATGCTGTTTTGTTTTAATGCCACGTATATACCAATGATTAATACTATGAAAGGTATTATAAATACTGCTTCAAAGACCCTGATCAAAGATTAATACGGGGTGACTTAAGCGGTAGAGCGCTAGGCTGCCAAGTCTCGAGTTCGAATTCGAGCCCAAGTAAGTAGAACGTCCCTGAGTCTACCCAGCTCTCATGGGTATCAAACGCCTGTTAGTGAAAGGCGGCTGGGCAAAGTACTGACAACACCTTCCCTTCATATACCGAGGTCAAGAAACATGAACTCTACTTCCTCTGCCCAATGGATTGCTAGTTTCCAAGAGTATGCTTTTCTTTATTTTGTGTATCAGTTACATATATTTATCAACGTCTGGTATTCCTGTGGTGTCTACCTCTACAAAGACACTATAGTCTACCTCTACAAAGACACTATAAAACAGCATTAAGGAGACAAAGTTTGTTTCTCATGTAACCAAGCCTTAAGGCTGGCTAACATATTGTCATGACTATACCGCAAATGCTTTAAAAATATGTAGCATATTATTTATAGTCATTTTCGTGTGGCATGGGGCGGAGTGGTCTAGCAGTAGAGAGCTGGGCTGCTAACCCGTATGTCTCGAGTTCGAATCCGGGTTCAAGTCAGTAGACCGACCCTGAGACCACCCAACTCTGATGGGCACATAACTCATGTTAGGGAAAATAAGGGCGACTGGGCATAGTGCTGACCACACTATCTCTTCATATGCCGAGGTCACAGAAACAAGTGAACTCTACTTCACTTGCCCCATAGACCGTCAGGTTTGAAAGGGAAACTACTTTTTTTTCGTGTGGCTACTCATATCTTAATTTAACAATATGAGAAACAGTTTTGACTTATCTCTATGCCCGACATCTCAACCAGCATAGAATGTTATATGAGGACAAATTGTTACTCACCTCCTTTGACGCATTGAGCCAGCATCATATAGAACAACGTTAGCCAAAAAGTTGAAAATGCAAAGTTCAAACGAGAACAGTGAATAAAGCTCATCATTGTTAATGTCACCAATATCTTTGTGGCGATAGATCACATATCGATCACATATTACGTTTAGCAGCTAGGTAACAAAACCTTGATTTTCCATCGCTTGAAGAAGGGTTGAACATTCAGAAGGTAATCCACGAAAACATCTACTGACTTCTAGCACGTTACGGGTATTTATACGTTTTTTTGGCGCGTGATGGGTGTCTCCAAAACCGGAGCAGAGTCGCCATTGGCTGGCAAGAAAAGTTCCCTAATTCGTCCACGTTTGACGAAGTGAGTTTGTATACCCTTTAAAGGCATTGAGGCTCTGTGTAGGGGCAAGTGGATGGAGGTTAGACCCCCGCCTAATCATTCGCATGTGACAGTTATAATTAATCATGGCAATTAAAGCCAATGTGGGTCTAGGTTAAGACATGGGGATGGAGGTTAGACTCCGCCTCTACTCCTGCTCCCCTCAAATGCTTTGATCTGAACAATACCTCATTTGTTGTTCTAAAGCAGGGGTCTCCAAACTACGGCCCGCGGGCCGGATGCGGCCCGCGAAGTCCCCTCATCCGGCCCGCGGAGATCTTTTTGTCCAAGGAAAAATCGTTTGTCGGTGATTGCTGAGGAACTTTGCTCAGAAAAATGAAAGACATGCCTGGAAGAAACTGGCCCCCGAACTAAAATTTCATAGTTAATGCGGCCCTCGGACTGAAAAGTTTGGAGACCCCTGTTCTAAAGCGATAGGCGGATCTAGAGGCGACCAATGTATGTTGATGATCACGTGATTTTAAATGCAGGCAATGGTAACACTGACATGTGATCAGCGGCGTAGCTACAGAGTGCCGGTGGGGTGGCCGCAGTGGCGTAGGCAGGGGGGGTAGGGTGGTTACAACCCCCCTCCCATGGACCCATCTGTAAAAAAAATGTTTACTGTCATCATACCACTGTTACTTATTTAAATCTATTTCTGAATCAGTATAAACGTATAATTGTATATGTATGTTTAGAACAGTCATTTTAAAGCTGACGCTATGTTCACTGAGTTGGTTATTCCCCCTCCCCCCTTCCACCTCACCACCTAAAACGGTGTGTAGAGCGACATTAATGTCACACCTAGGTATACGCTGAGTAGGATAATGGACCTAAAGTAACCAGGCATGGTGGCCACGGCCAGGAGTTGCGCAAAGTAGGGTGGAAAAAAATTACAAGGCTAATTTAGAGCCGCATTACTGAATTATACATTTTAGCAGTGACGAATATATATATATATATATATATATATATATATATATATATATATATATATATATATATATATATGTTTGTGTGTGTATGTGTGCGTGCGTGAGTGAGTGCATGCGTGCGTGCGTGCGTGTGTGTGTGCGTGCGTGCGTGTGTGTGCGCGTGTGTGTGTGTGTGTGTGTAGATATCTGTTTCTCTTGACTTTAGTATTGGATATAAAATGTAAGATATCTAGTACTGGATATAAACGTAGTATTTCTATAGTGGTGATCATGCGATGGAAGATCTAAACTGTTTTGTGGAAGTATATTGGTGAGAAGCAGAGGAAAACGTATGTTGAGGTCGATTTTCGTTTTCTTGTTTATACCGTCCACTAGTTGATAAGGTAGGCTTTCATTCTTAAAGGCTGCACATTTCAAGTTGGTGTATTCTAAAAATATTTTTTTACTTTTTTTTTTTACTTAAAAAATGGATGACCCTTCAACGACTTGCCACCGAGGTGTCGTGACAGGCCATGGATAGGTCATGACCGGCCATCGATGGGTTATGACTGGCCATGGATGTGTCGTGACAGGCCATCGATGTGTCGTGACAGGCCGTCGATGTGTCGAGACAGGCCGTCGATGTGTCGTGACAGGCCATCGATGTGTCGAGACAGGCCATCGATGTGTCGTGACAGGCCATCGATGTGTCGTGACAGGCCATCGATGTGTCGTGACAGGCCGTCGATGTGTCGAGACAGGCCGTCGATGTGTCGTGACAGGCCATCGATGTGTCTTGACAGGCCATCGATGGGTCATGACAGGCTATGGAAGCCTCGTGACTAAAACCCTTTGTATCAGTCGGCCTGGAAGTCCCAAGCAGTCATCACCAAGTCATCAGTAAATATGTCTGCACAAAGAGAATCCAACACGAAATATAAACAAACCCAATTCGGAATTGTTTTCTTTTTTCCCCCTCTCAACTCGCCCATAAACGCCGATGACTGGGTGCGCTAATTTAATTAATTTTAAATAGTACCATTGACAGACGAACTTAATCATTGTATAAACATCAGCTGCATGAAAAAGTTCACGATATTTTTTGTGCACGACAATTATGACAAGATGATTGATTGCATGTATTTCTAGATAGTAAAAATGCAAGCATGTTAGTACAGTTAACAGACAATATGTTGGCTACGTACAAATATATGACTCATGACACGAATCAGGTTTCTACTGGTACAAACAAAGTCATATACTTAATGAACTATATATATATATATATATATATATATATATATATTTATTTATTTATTTATTTATTTATTTATTTATTATTTTTTTATATTTATATATATATATATATATATATGTATATCGATATGTATAAATAGATATATATATGGATATAGACATAGATAATATATATGATGTAGATGATATACATAATATATCTAATGTAGATATATAGAGATATAGCTATAGCTATATATATAGATGTAGATCAGGGGTCTCCAAACCACAGTCCGCGGGCCATATGCGGCCCGCGAGGTCATTTTATCCGGCCCGCGACGATCTTTTTGTCCACTGAATAAATGTTTGTTGGAGGTGACTGAGGAGCTTTGAACAGAAAATTCTAAACAATTTGAAAATGGAGGGAAATCTAGTTTCTGATCTACACACTGACCTAAAGGTCTTCAGATCAAAACTCTTCATGTTTTTGAACAAGTACAGGCCAACAACTTGATGCACTGTCAGCAGTGCAAGGTCTTATTAAGGCTGAAGCAACCACTGAGTTCCCCACGTCATTTACATACGAGATCATTAGATGTAGATGTAGATGTAGATGTAGATGTAGATGTAGATGTAGATGTAGATGTAGATGTAGATGTAGATGTAGATGTAGATGTAGATGTAGATGTAGATGTAGATGTAGATGTAGATGTAGATGTAGATGTAGATGTAGATGTAGATGTAGATGTAGATGTAGATGTAGATGTAGATGTAGATGTAGATGTAGATGTAGATGTAGATGTAGATGTAGATGTAGATGTAGATGTAGATGTAGATGTAGATGTAGATGTAGATGTAGATGTAGATGTAGATGTAGATGTAGATGTAGATGTAGATGTAGATGTAGATGTAGATGTAGATGTAGATGTAGATGTAGATGTAGATGTAGATGTAGATGTAGATGTAGATGTAGATGTAGATGTAGATGTAGATGTAGATGTAGATGTAGATGTAGATGTAGATGTAGATGTAGATGTAGATGTAGATGTAGATGTAGATGTAGATGTAGATGTAGATGTAGATGTAGATGTAGATGTAGATGTAGATGTAGATGTAGATGTAGATGTAGATGTAGATGTAGATGTAGATGTAGATGTAGATGTAGATGTAGATGTAGATGTAGATGTAGATGTAGATGTAGATGTAGATGTAGATGTAGATGTAGATGTAGATGTAGATGTAGATGTAGATGTAGATGTAGATGTAGATGTAGATGTAGATGTAGATGTAGATGTAGATGTAGATGTAGATGTAGATGTAGATGTAGATGTAGATGTAGATGTAGATGTAGATGTAGATGTAGATGTAGATGTAGATGTAGATGTAGATGTAGATGTAGATGTAGATGTAGATGTAGATGTAGATGTAGATGTAGATGTAGATGTAGATGTAGATGTAGATGTAGATGTAGATGTAGATGTAGATGTAGATGTAGATGTAGATGTAGATGTAGATGTAGATGTAGATGTAGAGGCAGAGGCAGAGGCAGAGGCAGAGGTAGGGGCAGAGCTAGAGGATTTGGATGTGGATTGAGAAAAAGCAAGTTAGAGGAAGAGGTAGAAATAAAGGTAGATGTAGATGTAGAGGAAGATAAAGTGGCAGATAGAGATAGAAGAAGAGATAGATATGTACATATATGCTAAAATGAATGTGGAAGGGGATGTGGCAGAGGAATAGATAGAGAAGTAGAGAAAGAGAAAAAGAGAATGTAAGAGATAGAGATATAGTAAGATGTGGAAGTACATGGAGAGGTAGAGAGAGATAGGAATAGAGGTAGAGATATACTATTTCTCTGTCTCTCTCTCTGTCTCTACCTCTATCTTTACTTCTACCTCTACGTCTACCTCTACCTCTATCTCTACCTCATACTCTACCTCTATATTTACATCTACCTCTACCTCTCCGTTTACATCTACCTCTAGATCAACCTATACCTCTTATCTCTATCGCTTTCTCTGCCACATCCACATCCACTTTAACATCCACATCCATATCTTTATCTATATTACATATCTATATGTATTTCTATTTCTCTACATCTTTAGCTACATCTACATCTATTTCAACTTCTACTTCTATCTGTATTTTTATTTCTACATCAACGTCTACATCTACATCTGCTTCAACTTCTACTTCAATTTCTATTTCTACCTCTAACTTTGCCTCTACCTCTATCTGTCTCTTTCTTTACTTCTACCTCTTACTCTAACTCTACATCAACCTCAAGCCACATCCACATTCACTTTAACATCCACATCTACCACCACCTCTACCTCTATCTCTATCTATACTTCTATCTCTACGTCTACCTTTACCTCTTTATCTACATCTACATCACTCTACTATAAGCGATCAAAAACGTGGGGTGCCGTGATTTTCTTACAGTTTCTAATACTGTTGACTCTCTATAAGCTCCCTAATAAAAGTCAATAGTATTATCTAATCAATAGTAATATAACTTTTACTTCGGCGCCCCACGTTTTTCATCGCTTATAGTAGAGTGATCGCTTGCATTATTGTGATGTATAGCATTTATTTTC